TAAAAACCTCGCACCTTCGGCCTCAACTCGGAAGTGAGCAGAATATTTCTAGCAGCCAAGTCACGATGTATCAGATGCCGCTGATGGATGTACGCCTGGAGGTCAAAGGGAGCATTTTTTAGAGCTAGTAAACTATTACCATCCCATCGCAGACTTGCCATATGATCTGGAAAAGCTGTTTGAAAGGTAGCCGGGGCGGACCTCTGGTCGATGAAGAGTCAGAACTAAAAATTTCGAAGGAAAGGTAAAACCGCGATTAGCATTACTTACCTCTCCTCCAGCTGCTGCAAATATTTCCGAAAACTTGTATGCGTCAACTCGATCAACGAGCAGACAAGATTATCAATGGACGACCATCCGAGAAACAACGCAATGTGAGCATGACTACGGAGGCGTCGCATCGAAGCGACCTCCCGAAATAGCTGCTCCTCCTCGGCCTCGTCGAACTGGCGTGGCACCTGAGAAGCCACAATCAGAGTAGCAGGATCTGACGCAACCCCTCGACCCGGCGAATACCATTGTACGGCTAATGCACAAATGGCCCGGAAATTCTTACCCGAACCGCCACAGCGCAATCCTGGTATTGCCTCATTTCCACCCGTTCCATCCACTGCATAATCGGTGCCTTCCCCTTTAGACGGCCTGGAAAAATAGAGTGGAGGTATAGACTACAACTATACACTACAAACTACACAAACATTGACTACAACCCACCCAAATACACATCCGAATGTGTGCCCTCGCCTAGCAGACATTCCCGGTCAATGTGCACCCGATCCGCCTTGATCTCCCACGGCAGTCGAGCCATTCGCACGTTCTCGTTCTTGGGTCTGAAACAAAACTTTTCCTCGTCGGGGGGCGCTGTGGACCCTGGGGAAACCTCCGTGCCACTTACGCGACGCACGCACCAGACCCAGGACGATGGAAATTTATTCGCAGTTAATGGAGCGCGCCGCCAGCGCGAGCGCGAGACGTTCACCAGCCCTTATCCGTCGGAAAACGCGGCAAATGCGTCGAATTCTTTTGCACAAGTGGTTAAAATTAGCACGATGCGTTTCTAACATCTTCAAGATGACTTGGACAATCCGCACAAGGCTGCGAATGCGTAGCGATCGCGCTGCGGCGGTGGCTGGAACTGGCAGTAGCCACAACGGCCAGGCTGCCCTCGTGCTGCAATCGCTGCCCAACTTCCTCCCCACCGAAATAGCGAGAACTTCTGGCTTGCCTGTATTGCAACGGCTGCATTGCGATCTCGCCCATCACGTCCAGCTGCTCCTGGTAGAGTCTAAATTGCATGCGAGGTCATGGCCCAAAAAGACTGCGGTACCTGTAGGCTTTCCGGTAGATCAGATATCCGACGATGATTGCGGAGCCGGCCGCACAGACCGTCATCCAGATCTGGGAAAAATTGGTTTATTACGCTACGCTAGAAACAGGCCAGAGAGGGAGAGCAGAGAGGGGAGAGCGAGATCGGGAGAGAGAGAGAGAGATCGTGAGAGAGAGACGCTAGAGATGCGTAGTTGCACTCACGATATCCTCAACAGCCAGGTAGAAGTGCTTCGGCTTGTGGTAGGGCTTGGACGCCAGCATCCTCACTGAATTACGGTTAAAAGCACCCATAAGGCGGAACCTTGCGGAATAACATCCCGGCATACGGTGGCCTGGTCCGTACGATTGTCATAAAAGGTATAGGGCAAGATTAGATGATCTGAAAGATGGTAGTATTTTCTAGACCCTAAACACAACTACAAACCCCAGTCGCTGCTCAGCGCCTCCATCAATTCCACCGTTACATTTGTATAAATCGAGTCCGGCTCCCCGTCGGCCCAGATGTGAAATGGGGTCTGAAAAGAATTTGCTATAACACCTTTTTAATTGAATTGTTTGAAACTGTGATTTAAAGGTTTTTGTAGATTTTTTGATGCTCTATCGAATTACTTTGCAAAAAAAACGGGAAAAAAATGGCGAAAATTTCGGAAAACCTGGGTTTTCCCGTCCGGGGCGGAGTAAAGTTTTACAAAAAGGATAGGATATTTGTTTAGACATTTAGCATACCGTAGTCTCGAGCTGCTCAATCCGTTTCTGCAAATGCTCGACCAGCCCGAAGTCGTTGCCCAACAGCAGCGAGGCGAACGTGAACGTGACGTTCGGGGGAGGGACAAGGGCTGTTAGGAAATCTTCAATGATCAGAAGACCGGATTCGCTGGAGGGGACCACTGAAATAGGAAGCATAGCGTTCGAACAATATGGAAATTACGAAGCTTTCGTGGCCAGCAGAAGAACTATAGCCTGGCCAGTCAATTGTTTGGTCATGTTTTCATCGTCAACCTTTTAACTCCTCTAAATTACGATGGTAAATGCGAAAACGCGCCACCAGTCGGTAAACTTACATAACATTTCTCAAAAAAACGATTGAAATAGCGTAAATTCAAATCGAACCCGATTGACTAAACGGAATTTAGGTATAACATTTACAGACTTATGGAGCTCGGCGCACTGATTCTTGGCAATAAATAAGGTTCTTTTTGACAAAGTAACACTCTCCGTAGTTCCTGTGTCAGCAAAAGTTATGGAAATGGAATCGGCGCGCTGAACTCTATAGATAAGGCACGCCAGACAAGTCGAAATTTATTCTTTGTGAGCCACGGGATAGAGAAAGAGAGGTGAATGATTCACTCGCTGGCCTTCTGCCGTTCACCCCCGGGGCTTTCCCCTCTTTGCCCATGCCATCGGCACGGCAATGAAAATTTTTACCGTTTCTTCCCCCACCTGGTCCACTGCCTGTACGGGGTCTATAAAACCTTGGGGCACCAGAAACCTTCTAAGCCGCGGTGGCCGAGTGGTCTAAGGCGTCCGTCTTAAGAACGGATCCTCTCCAAAAAGGGGACGTGGGTTCGAATCCCGCCCGCGGCAGCTTTTTGTCTTTTTTGACATGGTGGTCCCGTAAATAGGCGTTTTTGAAATGACGGTACAATACACATTACATGAGCATTATCCATCTGTTTAGCGTGAAACCTCTATGAATGCTCCTGAATTGTGCATGCAAAAATTCGGTAACAAAAGCCCAGCCGGTAAATATGTAATTTTTCAAAAATTGCACACTTCAAGCACACAAAATGTCGGGTTCTTGATTTTTTGACGTCACGAAATAGGGACAGGGAGATGGTATAATGTCAGGTCATAATGATTCACTCCACGACATTTTGCCGTTCACCTTCGGCGCTTTTCCCTCGCTTCGCCCATGCCATCAGCTCAACGATGAAAATTTTCATCGCTTCTTTCCCCACCTGGTCCACTGCCTGTAGGGGGTCTATAAAAGCTCGGGGTACCCGGAAACATCTAAGCCGCGGTGGCCGAGTGGTCGAAGGCGTCCGTTTTAGGAACGGATCCTCTCCAACAAGGGGACGTGGGTTCGAATCCCGCCCGCGGCAGCTTTTTGACTGTGGCATACTAGACAGTTCCTCAAAGATTTTAATTTTGTAAATTTCAAAGATTTTTGATCAAAACATCAAGAATTTTCGAAAAGTTTTATAATTTTTTTCGAGCGGTTTATAGCCAAAAACTGTTGAAAATGTTCTAAAACATATCATAATTTATGCATTGTTATATTGCCGTACAAGATTGCCAGGAAAAATTTGGTATCTTCCGCTGCACCCCTTCCCCGCTAACAGTCCAGTACCCTTAAACCTCCTAGCAATACCAACCCGTTTGATTCTCGAATCGATCGAAGCAATGTTGCCCAAAATCCGCGGTCAGGTTCCCGATCCAGGGGAGATCCATCTCTAAAAACTCCCATAAAATGGCATGCTTTTCGGCTTTACCTCTAGCTGTATCGTTGCTATCCCCCGCGAATCTGACGGTCATAAACCGGTCGTTCATCCGCCCTTTCCCAGGGTGACACTGTTCACCGCTTACCTAGAGCTTCATAGCTGCCTAAAATATGCTCAACTTACCGTATCCAAAAATATCCGTCTAGCCCGACCGAGGTATTTATGATCCACCACAAAGATTCCATTCGAGGCACGGATTTCTTGTTGTAGCGATTCGGGGAAATCTAGAAGGTTTCGGATGAATTTAGAAGGCAGACGCTGAGACTTACGAAAGTCGGCGTCAGCAGTAAAAATCGGATTCAGCGTGGCTGGGTCTTGGATTGAGGAGAAGACGCTGAAAGCCGCTACGGAACGCAGCAAGGAGAGGTCCATATCGTGTGAGAGACCATAGATTTTGGTGTTTGGCTGGAAAGTACGTTTTGGCTTTCTATCTCTCTCTCTCTCTCTCTCTCTCTCTCTCTCTCTCTCTCTCTCTGCCTCCCTCACAAGCCCACCACAATAATAGCCTGATTCAACAGTTGCGTAGCATTCCAATGAACGTAATCACAGATGAGCACGACCAGTTTCTTCTTGCTCACGGTGGCCGATAGCGTATTCTCGGCCTCCAATGGCTGCCTTATATGGTAAGTGACCGAATTGGCCAACTCTTCCCCATACTGGACATCGGCAGTACTGTTGGTCAGCGATTGATTGTAGTATTGGGCGAGGAGCTCGGGTTTGGCCACCCATTCCTAGAAGAAATTCAGTTGCGGAGGAGAAAGAGAGAGAGAGAGAGAGAGAGAGAGAGAGAGAGAGAGTGTGTGAGAGGGAGAGAGAGGGATGGAGAGAGACTGAGAGAGACATAGTGGCAGAGCGAGAGGCGGAGAGAGGAAGCCAATGAGAGAGAGCTGGTGAACCAGAAATGACGAAAGAAATGATGTGAGAGAGCGAGAGAGTGATAGAGAGAGAGAGAGACTGAGCGAGAAAAGCACTTTTTCAAAATTCTTACGTCAATAGTCTGCAGCAAATCATCCGTGTAGAATTCTGCAGCTTTTGACGCGCCAAAGATGAATTGGTACTTGGTGTTGATGCGTTGGGTTAACTAAAACTTTTTATTTAATTTAATAACGTAATTAGATATGCCGGTATCCATCCGTGAATTTTGCGAATTTTTAGTCTTATTAAACCTGCAAATTCACCAAATTCCGATAGAAATTTTTTGATGTTCTCGTCATGTCATCGGAATTTCCCTCCCATCTTTAATGGCGGAATTACATGACTGCCGACGCAATCCCCGAACGCCCCGGTCTGTCCAAGAATTCCCTCAAAAAATCGGCGCCAAAACCGGCAGCTAGTAAATCAGACCCCCCTCCCTCGCGGGCCAGAATCAGCTTCTTGCGATAAGCCGAGGTGGGGGAGGGCGTGGACGGCGGCCGGAAAATTGCCGGATTTAAACCCGGAATGGCGAAACGGTGAACTTTTGAAGAGCAGGGGGTTAAAATCGAAAACCTACCGCCGAATACCCTTTCAACAACCCGACAAACGCCGAGATGTCGATATCGGGGGTGAGGGTGACGAGAATATAGGCCGAGGTGCCGAGTGTTGGGCAAAGGTGTTGTTTCACTGGGCCGATGTCGGGCTGAAAAGAAACTTTTGGACGTCTAAATTTTTGGATATCTTTTGGAAAAGGAAAAGGCTAGGGATTTTCGATTTCCCCGAGTCGCGACCCGCAACGCATCGCAACGCTCATGGCTTTTCCGTAGCGTAATGGATCAAGTGTCGCGGTGCGGTAGCGTACAAAGAATGGAGAGAGAGAGAGGGAGAGAGAGAGAAGAGAGAGAGAGAGAAAGGGATAGAGATACCGAAAGATAAAGAACGAGATCGCGATCTTTCAGCCCTGAATCGTTTCGAGCCGATGTGATAAAATTGTGTCTAAACCCTCTAAAGCTATTCAAAACTGAGGCCTTAAAGAACTTTGGCTTTAACTTTAACTTACCCTGTTGATCCCGGTGACAATTGACAACTGGACGAGCGTAACAAGGAGTATCAGCGGGTAAAATGATCCCATGGACCGGGAGTAGCCAATGTGCCTTATCTGGGAGCTGTCCCGCCTGTCACCCACCCAGCCGGTCGGCCCTACCAGCAAAGCATGGCTGTAGCCAAAAAATCGGCGAAAGTTCAGGAAAAAATGGGCAGCACGCAAAAAAACCATGCGTCCTTATACCTATGTTTGGCTTCCCGGGGTTTATTTAGTGCGCGTCTGAGATGCCTGATTGAAAAAAAAGCATTAATAGTGCCGGTTTATTAATAGTGCCGTTAAATCGAGGACAACCAGTTTATTCCGCAAATTTTTGACACACGAATCGTGCAGATAGAAAGTCTTGGTCGTGGGGCAGCCAGTAGGGAGGCAAACACTCCTTGTCGTTCTCTTTCTGAAACGGGTCATTTGCTGATATTCTGCGACAGCAACGTCTTCAACGCGTTGCGTAAAAAACGACGCAAACCTAACCTAAGCCACGTAAAAACAAATTTCCTTCTAGCAAAGAAAGCTAGTAATATCTCATGACACAGCAAAACGAGAAGTACAGTAACCCACAGCCCAGACGTACGGCACCGAATAGGCGTATTTTGCCTGGACGTAGTCCACTGGGCTACCGTCCGTCCATCCACCAGACTTCAGAGCACCGGAGCCTGTAAAATCACATGAGTTAGTGCTCTCACCCTCTCTCTCTCTCTCGCTCTTTCTCACGCTCTCTCTCTTTCTCTCTGTCTCTCTGTTTCTCTCTGTCTCTGTGTTTCTGGATGTCTCCTGTTTCTCTCTCTATGTATATGTCTCTCTCTCTGTCTCTCATCCTCACTCTCTCTCTCGCTCTCTCTCTTCACCTTTGTCTCTTCCTCTACCACCCCGAACTCCTTACGACCTTTCAATCCGATCCATGCTGAAGACAAATCACAGACCCCAACCCCGGGCGGGCGATGGTCCAGCTTGGAGGCTTCCGACCGGATTAGTACTGTAAAGCAGTCTAGTATACGAAATTACTATCGACGAACGGTTGACGAAAATATCCTCCTGATCCGAGTGTATCGATGTTAGATGGGCTCCTAGCCCTCGGCATAGCTCCTCGGCGTCCAGCTGTACCTCGCCACGTAGCCATCACCTCCGAGGGTGTAGTTCTGGAATTATAGGGGGTTTAAAGGGATCGAAAAGGCAAAGCTATGGATTATTGGTCGACTCTGGATTCAAATGACTGCCCACTCCCCCTAAAAACTGATGCAAACCTACAAATACATAATAGCAGGATTTCGTTGCGTCGAGGAAATGCCAACCGTCCGTGCAGCGAGTACCTAAAGACAGGATCTAAGAGAGAGATAGTGAGAGAGAGAGAGACAGAGAGAGAGAGTGAGAGAGGGCGAGAGAGAGAGTAAGAGAGAGTGAGAGAGAGAGCGAAAGAGAGATGGCGAGAGAGCAAGTGAGCGAGAGAGAGAGGGCTAGAGAGGGAGAGGGAGACAGAGAGTGAGAGAGAGCTGCGTACCATTACGCTTCCCGGTGCCTACATCACAGACGTACGGCTGTATATTGGAGCATTCCGTAGCGGCCCATTTCCCAGTGTCGGTTTTCATCAGAGCACATCGTCCCGGGCCGTTGTAGGGTTCGCCTAAATTCTGGAAATAGTTTTTGGGTTGCTTTCTCTCTCTCTCTCTCTCTCTCTCTCTCTCTCTCTCTCGCTCTCTCTAACATACCTGGTCCCCAATTCTTATAAGTCAACGGAGAGCCATCGCTATTAGTCCACTCTCCAGCATTGTTCTTCTCAACACCAATATATGCAGAATCAGAACTAATGCCTTAAAATGTTAATAAACATTAATGATACTCAACCCACCAAATTGCAATAACCCATCCAAAAATCCGTTGTCAAAGGCGTTGCCAATTTTGGCTGGTAGCCCATCCCAGCGCTGGCATACGGTCTGGACGTTTGGGTAGGTTGTGGCTGAAAGGGACGTGTCTGGACCCGGATTTCCCTCTCTCTCTCTCTCGCTCTCTTTCTCCCTCTCTCACTGTCTCTATCTCTCTTTCTCCCTCTCTCTCTATCTCTCTTTCTCTCTCTCTCTCTCTCTCTCTCTCTCTCTATCTCTCTCTCTCTCGCGCTCTCGCGGTTTCTCGCTGTTCCTCTACAAACTTTGCCGTCCGCGACACGCAACGCGCGCGCGTCGCGTCCACCTACAACTTCCTATGTCGCAGAGCGATGGTTAGAACGAGATAAGGGCAGAGAGTGGGCTAAAAGAGAGAGCGAGAGAGATATACAGCGAGAGAGAGTGAGTCAGAGAGTAACAAAGAGATGATGATGCATACCTCCAACTCCCAGATATAAACAGCGCTCCTGATCCGGAACCTTTATCGTCCCGTTTGGACAGAAAAAGTCTAGGCACACATTGGATTGCAATAAAATACAAAATATAATGAATGCCAGCATTTCCGGAACCGACTGCCTGACGCCTTATCAAATTTCCCGGTCCTTCCTCTCGCTTCTTAAGTCCCAGCGATTCGTCATCAAATCTGGTGTTGACCTGTTTGAAAATGTTCTTTACTCGTTCATACGTGACCAGCGCCCAAAACCCGCTTCGCGGGCCTTAGGCGCTGGAATGGGGCCTTTGCAGGAAAAGTTTGACTTTGATCGCGCGGGTCCTGCGGACTCCCCTCCCCCTCCCGACCACATGCGCGAGTGCAACTGGCACGAACGAGGAATATTGTATTTTTAGCCCGGAGGTACTCCGAAAAATGAATAAAACAGGCTTTAACTTTGTAAACTTGTATTTTATCGGAATTCTGAAAACGCCGCCGGAAAGAGGAGGGTCGATTCTTCCAAGTGACGAAGGATTAGGGCATTTATGCACGGAAAGGCCCTCAAATCGGGCCTCGAAAATGACAGCTGCACACACAGACACGCAGATAGACCCGCCAAAAATTTATAAAGTAGGATTTTATGGAAAAACAGAAAAAAACATTTGTCGATTGGTCTCAATTTTTCCATTCTTTTTGAAAAACGTTGAAAGTTTTTGGAAAGCTTTTCTAGAGACACTAACACTTTTTTTATATGTAATAGGATAGTAGGGTTTCATCATTTATCGAACTTCATTTATTACACATCATATTAAGAATGATAGAGACATAGTCTATAGCGATTCCGAGCGGGTCAATGAGAGGGGACAAACACACAACATCAATCAAGGAACACAAAGGGGAACTGGGATGTGCTTCCGTCTTCGAGTTGTTCGGGCTAGATGACGTTGTTGCCCTGCTGTCCTTGTTGAAGTTGGCGGCGGTCGACGTTCAGCGCCGGGCGGGACGACGCGGGGGAGGGGCGCCACGGTCGTACTGCGACGACTTGGCCGGGATGTGACGGGTGGCCTTCTTCTTCTTTTTCAAGAGCGCCGCCTGAAAAAGGAAAAAGCTAGCAGAGACCATTTAGGAAAGCTAGCAGAGACCATTGAGGAGAGCTAGCAGAGACCATTGGGGGGATGCAAAATGCCATTGGATAGAGCGTCGAATACTATACTAACAAGGAGTGGTTTTTGAGTGTCATTGGCAAATCCCTTCGCGACCCAGCTCATTCGATAGAGAATTGAATTCTGAACAACCTCCCGGTGTTCATTTTTGCAAAACGCTTTTCCCTGATTTTATAAAATTAAAAAACTTTAAATCGAATTTTGGCCGACTATCGGTTTGCCGCATCAAAATGATGCCTGGCTAGCTCTAGGAGAAGAGGCCTTCAGCGCCGCTCCCCTCACCATCAGCCGTGGCGCACTGGCTAACGCGGCTGTCTTCCAAAATTTATTTTTCAATCTTTTGCAAGTTCGGTTTTTGTAGATGTAATTTGTTTTGCTTTTTGTATTATAAGTAGCCCCAGTATTTTTAAACAAGTTGTACCTCCAATTTAGAGGACTCACACTAACCTGGATCATAATATTTGTTTTTGTTGTAAATTTTCCTGAATGCGCAGAGCAGCCAACGTTGTAATAAGTATTATTTTAAATCAATTAACTTATCAAAGCGTCTGCAAACGCTTTTAAGAACAAAAAGCAAAACAAATTTTTTACCAAGGAACCGAACTTTCCACAAAGATGCAAAAAATTTTTGAAGACGGAAGCATTTACCACTAGGCCACGTCCCATGGTGGGACCGGGAGGCGAAGCGAGCTCATGTCCTAGGGGAGTTCCAATAGGCTGGCCGCGCCAGACGGAGTACGTAAAATTCAATTTTTAGTTTTTTAATTTTATGAAATCAGGGAGAGCCGTTTTACAAAAATGAACAACGAGAGGTTGTTCACAATTCAATTCTCTATCGAATGAACTAGGTCGCTAAGGGATTTGCCAATGACACTCAAAAACCACTCCTTGTAAGAGATTTAATTTCAGTCGGAAAAGCTCCTTTTAAACGATTTTTAATTGAATAAACTTTTTAGCTTAATAAGTAATAATTTTAAATTGCGATATTTTGGGCTGAAATTAAATCTCTTCGTATAGTTATCGACGCTCTATCCGATGACATGCTTGAATTGGCCCGGCAGGTGAAATGTTTTCCACCCTCGTTATTTCCCCCGTTAAGCAATCTTTACCCAAATTCTTTGAGTAGAGTGCAATTTCTGATGTTTCCTTTCGACTTTCAAGCCAGATACTTTATTAATGATACTGTAGGCACACGAAAATACACGATAAACGACAATGACATCAAGAAATATGTACATTTGGATTGCGAGGGGCCAGTATAACGAATAGACAACATGACACACAAAGGGGAACTGGGATGTGCTTTTGACTTCGAGTTGTTCGGCGTGGATGACGATGTTGCTCTGCTGTCCTTGTTGATGTTGTTGGAGGCGGTCGGGATTTAGCGCCGGGCGGGACGACGAGGGGGAGGGGCGCCACGGGTGTTGTGCGTCGACTTGGCCGGGATGTGGCGGGTGGCCTTCATCTTCTTTTGCGCCGCCTGAAAAGGAAAATTTTAATCGATTTTTGACCAAAATTTCGACTTTTTTTAAAGGGGGCGTGGCACTAACCTGCGCGGACTCGTCCTCGTCGTCGCAGACAGTGACCGACGACGGGCAGTCCTTGTCCGCACGCAGGTGCCGCTCGGGCCTCTCCATCGCCGAGTCGCTGAGCTGCGTCTCGTCCTCTTCCTCCAACGCCACCCACTAAAAAACGAAAATTTAATTAACTAAATTAATGAACAAAAACGACTTAATTAATTACTTAAGTTAAGTTATTACTACTTAGCTATATAGCTAAATATAGTTTTGCTAAAGCTTACCACATCGCCAACACCCGGCCCATCCTCGAATTCCCAGTACTCGTGGCCCTCGTCGTCCCAGGTGAAGGCGACCGGTTTCCACTCCTCTTCCTCTTCGCGCTCACGCCGGTGGGTCTGAAAATAGCACAAGTTCAAGGCGTTCAACGATCCGACTTACCCATTGACCAGTATGGCCATTGAACCTCTTCAATCCGCGGTGGTACTTGAACGTGCCGGGCTGCAAGACGAACGGCGCCTCTTCCTGAAAATTGAAAAATATTCATTTTTCGACAAAGATTTTGACTTTTTCAACGTTTTTTCGTTAGATAGTTTTTCAATTTTAGATATAGTGATATATTACCAAAAAAACTATTAAACACTGACCCCCCCTCCCGATAATGCAAAAGAACACAAAAACGTCGAAAATTAGCTTTAAAACTCGAATATTTTATTTTAGATGACCAACCTTTGATGAAGATGCGTCCGGAGAGGTCATGCTCGGGCTGGCCATACTCGGGGTCGCCTTGCTCGGAGTGGCCTTGCTGGTGGTGGCCTTGCTCTGAGGTGTCGTCGTCGCGCTTGAGGTGGTGGTGGGCTTCGAGGTGACCGGTGTGTTGTTCTTCGACGCCTCGACGTCATTCCTTTTCTGCTTCCTGAAGCTCTTCTTCTTCTTGATGATGTAGAAGGAGACGGCGGTGGTGGCGACGATGAAGACGACGGTGAGGAGGAGGAGCACGATGACCACCAGCAGCCACCACCAAGATGACTTCTCGCCGTCGAGCGTCAGGGGCGCCGCGGTCGAGCTGAAAATGAAGGGGTTGATTGAAGCCCTGAATGGTCTGTGCTATCCCTCCTCACTTACTTGGTGGTGGGGGCGTCGGACACGGAGATCTTCACGCAGTATATGTCGATCGGGCCTGTGCAATCGAGCTTGTTCGAGCCATCACAACGCAGCTGCTGGTTCTTGCTACTGCAGAGCACATAAGTCGAATCGCTGGCCGTCTCGAGGTGGATGGTGCTGCCCGGCGGCACCACGAAGACTTGATGGCAGATGTGGACTTCGCTGCCATTCGTCAGCTTCACTATGGTACCTTCATCGATCAATTGAATGGTGGAGTTGCGGCGTCCCCTTCCGCTTGAGGGGAGCTTCCCGTCCATGCCATTCTCGGGCAAGATGAGGGTCCCATTGCATGCATTGGCGGATGACGGCTCGGTGCTGTTCATCGGGGTCGAGCAGCTCTCGCACGGCACCTCGGGTGTTGTGTTCGTGTCTGCCGTGCCGTTGGCCGGGGAAGCGGATGGCGGAAGCTGAAAAAAACGGTCAATTCAGCAAAATAACGAGCCGACGTCATTAAGGAGTTCAAAGACACGAAACGTCGAAAAAGTAATCCCCACCGTCGGAAACTGAGTCGACACTGGCTCACCCTGCTGCGGCGCCGTCGAGATGTTCAGGCACGGTCCGGGCAACGACAATTCTGGCAGCCGGCCACTTCGGAGTTGGTCTTCTTATCGTTGCCGGTGGGGTCCGTTGGGTCGGTAATACCCTACAAATAATCATACTGATATTAAGGCTACCCACCATTACTTCTAAAATCATTACTTCTAAAATCATTACTTCTAAAATCATTACTTCTAAAAAGTCATTACTTCTAAAAGCCATTACTTCCAAAATCATTACTTCTAAAAGTCATTACTTCTAAAAGTCATTACTTCTAAAACCATTACTTCTAAAAGTCGTTACTTCTAAAATTCTAAGCTTCGTTTTGGGCATAAATATGGCCAAGCGTGCCGAAAAACTGGTAATCCGGCGTACCAAATTTTAGAAGTAACGTTTTTAGAAGTAATGATTTTTAGAAGGAATGACTTTTAGAAGTAATGACTTTTAGAAGTAATGACTTTTAGAAGTAATGATTTTGGAAGTAATGACTTTTAGAAGTAATGATTTTAGAAGTAATGGTTTTAGAAGTAATGATCGTACCCCCTGATATTAATGCTCCAGTAGATACTCACGATTTGTGTGGATGGTGATGGCGGGCCCGTACTGCCAGAGGGCGTCGGCGAGGAAGATGGCGGCGAGTGGTCTTGGACTTGAGGAGGCCGGCTTTTCTTGGGAATCAGCGTCATCTTGGGGTCGTTCGTGCCGGGCGGCTTGAACATCGTCGGGTTGTCCGTATCATTGCCCTCATCAGTGATGATGGGCTGCGGGACGATGAGGAGCAGCAACAGCAGCTAAACAATTAGCACTTTACAAGGCTTCAAATGATAACCAACCATCGGAGCAATCTTCATGGACGGCATCGTTTTGCTCGATCGAAGAAGTCGAAACTCGAAGGCTGTCGACGGAAAATGAGTAATGATTTTCGAACCTCTTTTTATATGCTGTAATGTATGCTAATCACGGTTCTAATCCGTCAGCTAAACTATGCATTGAAATCATGTATTCGAATTATCAAAAAGGCTGGCGTGCATCTTCCTCTCTCTCGCTCTATCTCTTTTTGTCCCTCTGTCTCTCTCTGTGTCTCTCTGCTGAATGTCTGTCTCTCTCTATCTGGCTCTCTCTATCTCTCTCTCGCTCTATCTCCCTCTCTATCTCCCTGCCTCTCTCTTTCTCTGTCTTTTTTTCCTTCTCCCACGGCAATATTTATCAACATCTTTCACATAAACGTGAATAAAACTGATGGCATTTTTAGTCATATGGCGTGTCGATTGACTGCCGTAGTGAAGATGAACAATATCCCGAAGAAGTGCGGCTGGTTAGCGTTGTTGTTTGGTGGCGAAGAAGCCGGACTGAAATTGATGGATATTGATTGAGGTTAGGGTGCAGTTTACGATTTACGTTCATTTGGCATAATTTTCATTTGGCATAATCTCATTTGGCATAATTTTCATTTGGCATAATTTCATTTGGCATAATTTTCATTTGGCATAATTTTCATTTGGCATAATTTTCATTTGGCCTAATTTTCATTTGGCATAATTGTCATTTGGCATAACGTTATTTGGCATAATGTTATTTGGCATAATTCGCTCGCCAAATCAATAATTCCCACAACAACAATTGACAGTTCCTCAAGGAATTGGGTGGCGATCAAGTTCGGATCGATGTCAAGTACGAAAAGATGCGCCAACGCGGTTCGAAGAAGAACCGAAGTGGTCCCAACCCCCCGCGGGTCTATTCCACCCAGCAGCGTCTTTGTCCTTGTCTTTGTCTTTACCTGTGATGTTGTGTGACATGCATAAACAGGCTAAATTATGCCAAATGAAAATTATGCCAAATGAAATTATGCCAAATGAAAATTATGCCAAATGACATTATGCCGAATGAAAATTATGCCAAATGACATTATGCCAAATAAGCGTTCACCGCAGTTTACCCCCGCTCCCCACCCCCTTCGCCAGCCGCCGACCCCATCCACTGTACCCGTGGGGTTAACCGGTAAACCGGTAAACCGGTGGGGTAAACGGTACGTAAGCCTTGATAACAGAGCTGAACATCTACTTGCCTAGTTGTTGTAGTGGTGGTAGTGGTGGTTGTTGTGGTAGTGGTTGTAGTTGTAGTTGTCCACTCACTGAGCAGCTTGCAAAATACGTTGATCCCGTCGTGGCATTCGAAGGGCAGCCCGTCGCAATCAACTTCGGAGAGCCACCCTGTACAATACAATACAAGCGAGGGGCCTTTTTCCCAAAAGGTGAGGTTGCTGTTTGGCGGTATCGTGAAGTTTTGATTGCAGAGGTGGATGAAGGTGCCATCCTCGAGTCGAAGCGTCATCAAACTGCCGGCGATTGGTCTGACATAGACGGTCGGTTCTCCTACTATCAGCGATCCATTGGGATAGTTGCCAAAATCTGGTCGCTCCCCGTCGTGCAGCATTATAATCTGGCCCTTGCATGAGGAGGTGTCCGGGGGGATAGCTGCTGAATTGGCGGCCATGATATCCCTTGAATTCCTCGATTCTGTGTCCTCCTTCTCATCGAATGCTTGACCAACGATGAGTGGCGTGTAGATGAGGACCAGTTGAAGCTGGAAATCACACGATTTTGAGGGTTTTGCCAAGGGTTTCAGTTTGTTTTACGTCCGCCCCCCTCACTAGCGGTCTTGCTCAACAATTAGCCGACTGACCAGGAGGATAAACTTGCCGAGACGAAGCATTTGGGCAGAAAAAATGAAAATTCAGTTGGGATTGGCTAGGCTAATTAGCTAAACCTCAATCCCCAACGATCTCCGACTGATAACTACCGGAAGTATGGGATTGAGCTGGCTTTGATCGTATGTGAACATCTTACTTGATGCTAATTTATGGAAGTCAAGTGGAGGTTGATTCAAATTCAAAGAGACGTTGAGCTGGGTTAGCAGAGACCATTGAGGAGGGCTAGCAGCGACCATTGAGGAGGGCTAGCAGAGACCATTGAGGAGGGTTAGCAGAGACCATTGAGGAGGGCTAGCAGAGACCATTGAGGAGGGCTAGCAGAGACCATTGAGGAGGGCTAGCAGAGACCATTGAGGAGGGCTAGCAGCGACCATTGAGGGAGGGCTAAGCAGAGACCATTGAGGAGGGCTAGCAGCGACCATTGAGGAGGGCTAGCAGAGACCATTGAGGAGGGCTAGCAGAGACCATTGAGGAGAGCTAGCAGCGACCATTGAGGAGGGCTAGCAGAGACCATTGAGGAGGGCTAGCAGAGACCATTGAGGAGGGCTAGCAGCGACCATTGAGGAGGGCTAGCAGAGACCATTGAGGAGGGCTAGCAGAGACCATTGAGGAGGGCTAGCAGAGACCATTGAGGAGGGTTAGCAGAGACCATTGAGGAGGGCTAGCAGCGACCATTGAGGAGGGCTAGCAGAGACCATTGAGGAAGGCTAGCAGCGACCATTGAGGAGGGCTAGCAGAGACCATTGAGGAGGGCTAGCAGAGACCATTGAGGAGGGTTAGCAGAGACCATTGAGGAGGGCTAGCAGCGACCATTGAGGAGGGCTAGCAGAGACCATTGAGGAGGGCTAGCAGCGACCATTGAGGAGGGCTAGCAGAGACCATTGAGGAGGGCTAGCAGAGACCATTGAGGAGGGCTAGCAGTGACCATTGAGGAGGGCTAGCAGAGACCATTGAGGAGGGCTAGCAGAGACCATTGGAGGAGGGCTAGCAGTGACCATTGAGGAGGGCTAGCAGAGACCATTGAGGAGGGGCTAGCAGAGACCATTGAGGAGGGCTAGCAGTGACCATTGAGGAGGGCTAGCAGAGACCATTGAGGAGGGCTAGCAGAGACCATTGAGGAGGGTTAGCAGAGACCATTGAGGAGGGCTAGCAGAGACCATTGAGGAGAGCTAGCAGCGACCATTGAGGAGGGCTAGCAGAGACCATTGAGGAGGGCTAGCAGAGACCATTGAGGAGGGCTAGCAGAGACCATTGAGGAGGGCTAGCAGAGACCATTGAGGAGGGCTAGCAGAGACCATTGAGGAGGGCTAGCAGTGACCATTGAGGAGATAACTTAACAACTTAAGCTGAAACCCAAGTAGCGTAAGCGGAGCGCCTCGTAACCCCTTACTACCAATTTTGGATTGCATTAGCACCGCTTGTTGTAATGAGGTGCATTTCGTCCATTCCAACATTACTCATAAGCAAAAAGCTTTATCAAGCCGCAAATAATAAAAGTAATAATAATACAGAGCAAAAGAAAGAGAGAGAGAGAAAAGAAACTCTACTCAACCGAAATCAACTGACCAGTTTAGGTATCGCGAAAAGAAACGGGCGGGGGCAAATACATTACGGTAGATAAATACTACAAAATGGCCATTTTAAGGGGGGAATACTGTAGAGAAGGGGAACTAGGGTACGCGTCAATATCAAACTGTATGTGAAAAACAAGCGGCGGGGCTTAGCTTAGGCTTAGCTCAGACTTTGCTTGGACTTAGACTTAGACTAGGCTTAAGCTTAGCCTTAGGTTTAGGCAAATCGACTTCAGCACGGCGAATTGAAAGAACTATGGGCGTGTGACGGGTTATGCGTAAAAACAGGCATTTCCTAAAAAATTAAAAAGAACTATTTAAAAGTTTATTGCGCGAAATTGCTTAAATTTTTACGTTTTAAAGTTTTGAGAACATTTATTAAAATTTGATATAGCTTTCAATTTGATTTATTTGGGTTTCCGAGTTTCGATTTATGTAAATTTCGCGGTTTAAAATTCCGTATTTTTGAAACAATTGTTCCCGTTCCTAATTTGCATAACCCGGCACACACCCCAAAAATAACAACCTTATATAGAAAAATTTGACTATGCCATTGATAAATAATGAGATGCATTTCGTGAAGGGTTTTTCCGGGGGGAATGACGGATGTGACTAGTTTCACTAGGCGGGCAATTAATTATACAACGAAAAACAAATATTTTTTAGAATTTTTGTAGATTTGTCGAGAAGAAAATGTTTGTGAGTAGGCGTTTGTGCGTTTGCGTAGCAGCTTCATCTGAAATTGTTTTTAAACCAATTTATGCTATTTTAACTCGTGTTTAAAAAGTTAAACTTTAGATTGCCAAGGGCTTTGAATTACGCTACTTACAATTTTAAGAAGTTGGGCTGGGAGCTGTGATTACTTCGAAAACAAATTTGTGACGCGTTGCGGGTGCGTTGCGGTACTTTGCTCCTAGCTCCTAACCCCGATATCATTTTTAAACGCGTTTTTGGCGGTAGAGTTGATAGAATAGAGCTGCGAACCATCGGAAAGAAAATTTTGCACGCGTTGCGGCTGCGTTGCGATACCTTTTCAATCTCCTAGTTTTTAGCTCCCAGCTACCAGCTCTCAGCTCCTAGCTCTCAGCTCCTAGCTCCTAGCTCCCGGGTTTAGCTTTGAAAAACCTTTTACCCCCGATTCTGGATAACATCACCCCGAAAAACTCACAAAATGAGATCATATCTCCTCCTCATCTAGTGCCTGGGCTGTGGTGGGCTGCGTGACACGGTGGTTGTGGTGACATTCCCCTGGCTGTCCACCGTCTCCACCCTGCCACTTCCTCCCTCCAACACCCTCGACACTTGTTCCGGTCCCTCCGTCCCGGTGAACGTGACATGGTCGGTGACCGGGTCCTCGACGCGCGTCTCCACTCGGCGCGAGATCCGCTCCACCGTCCCGTCGGGTTTTGTCTGAAAAGGGGGATCAAGGTTGTTCTAATCCTATGATAATTACCTGGGTTGTTTCGAAGATCGTCAGTGTCTTGGCGTACGACGAGACAACGTTGTCCATATCTCCAGCAAGTGAGTCCTTGTCCTCGTCGGTGTGCTCCTGGAAAGTTTTGTGATAAGCAAGATGTGCATTGGAAGTTGGCGGAATCGATTTTTGAATTTGACGCGACCACGGCGTGATGCTACAGAGCATTCACCAAGTCGCGAGCCGCAACGCAACAAAGCTCTGGAAAATTCTTAACCGCGAGCCGCAACGTCAGGGCGCGAGCCGCGTCGCTGTGGAGAAACCACGAGACGCAACGCAGAAAAGTGGGCGAAAATTCTTAATAACTAGCCGTAACGTAGCTGAATAAGCCACGAAGCGACACCACGGTCCGCGAGGCTTCACCGCGAGCCGCGACGCGGCAAACCGAGCCGTAATGCCCAACCGCCAGCAGCGACGCTACCCGCGCGTAGCTAAGTAAGCCGCGAAGCGACTTCCGAGAACGCGAAGCTACCTAGAAAACCGCGAAGCGAAACCGCGAGCCAACCCGCAGAAAAACCGAAAAACGCACCCCGAACCGCGACGCCTACGCTCTATCTCCATATCAACCCAATCCGTACCTGATACGTCCCAACCGTATCCCCACTGAGACCCGGTGCCTCCTGGCTGGTGACCACCTCCTGACTGGCCCCCTCCAGAAGACTGTCCCGGTCGTGTGGCAGATTCTCCAGCGAGTCGTGCGTCGAGACCTCCATCCTCTCGATCACCTAGAAGAATTTGACTATTTTTACTTTTCGAGCATTTTTTGCACCACCAGCCACTCGACCCACCTCATACTCATCCAAAGAAGTCTCTTCCATGCTCTCCAGCATCCTCGGCTCGACGATCTGCACCGGGCGGCCCGACGGTTCCAACGAGTCGGTGCTCGCCTCCATGATGCGGGCGTCGACCTGGAACTCAAAGTGTTTCGTCGAAGGATCGAGAAATCAACGCCGACGTCGACGAGGTCAATAACAATGCTAGCAAAGTCATTAAAAATTGCCGTCAACGTCACCGGCGACACGAACAGGGTCACTGACGACGCCGACAAGGTCACCGACCATGGCGACGAGGTCACTTATATGCCGACAAGGTCAATAACGCCGTCATTCCCCCTACTTAAACCTTAGCTACCACCTACCGTTGGTCCCTCAGCCTCCAGATGCACGTGCTCAATACTGTCCGCCGGAGAAACACCTGTCGGGGTATCCGCCCGGTCTTCTGGCTCCTCACGAATTGGCACCACTCTCAGGTCCGTATGCTGGTCATGATCCTCATCGTCCGTATCCCGAACGCTCATATCCTCGGCCTCACTCTCCTCCCTAATATCTGAGAGCATCATCGCCTCGTCCTGCTCGGGTGCCTCCTTTGCAATCTCGGCCTCGATCCGCTCGAACTCGGCCAGCGAGCTGAGCGAGCCCTGGCCGGACTTGAGCAGGGCTCCGTTTCCCCCGGTGGCCAGTTCGATGTCACTTCCGGTGAGGCTGCCCTCACCCTTGACCATCTTCTCGATGCGCTCAAACTCTTGCAGGCTCGACTCGGAGACGTTGTCGGATGAGGTGTGCTTGTAGCGGGCGAGTGAGGCGAGCGAGACGGGCTGACCAGCACTTGATGATCCACTGCCGTTGAGGGAGTCGTTGTCCTCCGGCTCTTCCTCTACTGTCTCTAGCTCGGGATCAACAGGTTCGTCATGCGGATACTCAAAGCCCTCCTCCGACGGATCCTCAATAGTCTCGACCACTTGATACTCCTCCGTCTCGACCACCTCCCTAGCGATGTGCTCCGGCTCCTCTCCAAAGTCACGTCGCTCATCCGGTGAAGCGTCAGCATGTTGAGAAGAGAGCCCTCCACTGCTCCTCCTCGACGTGCTGTACCGCTTGCCGGCGCTGCTGCTGTGGCTCTTCACCGAGCCGTGATCAAGGGATTCGGAAGACCCCTGGTATCTCTCTTCTTGCTTTGGAGACTCGAGCTGCTCCTGTTGCTCCTTCTCCTCAAAAGTTGCCTCGACCTTCTTGGGGATCTCGAGACCCTTGAGTTGGATCGACTCGACCATGGCCTTCTTCAACAATGGGTTGACGCTGCTGGGCTGCTCGAGGATGTCGGGCGTCATGCACTGCTCGAAGACGATGGTGTCCTCGGGTTGTTTGAGGCCAATGAGAAGCCCGGAGTCGGTGCGGGTGGGTGGGATGGGGGATACAGGTCTTCCCGGGTCCGCTTCGGGGATGTACAACATTCCTGAAGCGTTAGCCGAAGGCGGTGTCTCCTCACGATCATCTCCATACCGCAGTGCAACATCGGGCGTGGTTCGCGCCGAGTCCGAGATGATGTCAATCGTCGTCCTCAAAGTATGAACCCCCGGGTGCCCGATCGTCTGATAGTCTCCATATTCATCGGAATGTTGATGAGCCTCCTCTTCCACCGTCTCCAACACGTTTCGCACCATGTCGGTGGCCATTCGATTCAGCGATTCCTCGCTGGGGATCGCGCGGTCGTCCTCCTCCCGGATGTTGTCCTCCTCATCGGGTCGCGGTAGTTCTTCGCGATTCTGTGCCGCGAGGATGTCGAGCTTTTCTTGGAGGTCGGATTGGTAGTCGACCTCAGGCTCCACGGCTTTCTCATACCAGGATTCTTGCTTCAGGAGTTGTTTTTGAGATCGGGCCGAAGAAGGTACCGGGCTGACCGCGTCGTATTCGTCGTCTTCATCGACTTGAGAGCTTTCTGCCGGACGATCGTAGGATTCTGATTCGATGACAGCACTTGATGGGGTTGAAGGGGTGGCTTGTTCTTCAGTGACCTTCACGTCAGAATCCCGGTGCGTCTGTTCCTCCGTGACATAATCCCCAAAACGATCCCGATCCGTACTCGGTGGTGTCGTCGGGGTCTCCTGGTGTTGCAGCACTTTCTCGTCGGATTCATATCGTGCCTCGGTGTCTCGATAGGTCCCTTCCTGAGATTCAGGCTCTTCTGTCTCATAATCACGATCACGATAGGCCTCAGATTCAATGACCGATCTTTCAGTGGTTGACGGAGTCGTCGGAGATTGTTGGTGCTCCTCAAAGCTTGACTTCTCCTCCTCCTCGATAGCCCTCTGATCCATGCTAATATTCTCCGAATCGACATTCGAGCGGTCTGTGACTGTCGGACTCCTCGGTGTCACCTCCAGCGTCATCTGCTCAGACAGCTGATGTGCCGCCTGGCCGACCGCTTCGACGGCCAGCCGCTGCGAGATCTCGTCAATCTCGGCCTCCTCATCGCCAGCAATCGCTCTATGGTCATCTTCGGGTGATGATGCGTGCTGGGATTGCTTGCCAGGCGATGCGGGGGGCACATCTTCTCGTTCTTCTGGGCTGTGAACAATTTCGTACTCGTCGACGTCGAGGTGCTGTTCTTCGGGTTGGCCCTCGACCAACTCGTAGTCGTCGGACTGGATTAGATGGGATTTCTGATGATCTTCAACAGCTGGGGACGCCGGTTTTGCTTCTCCGTCGGCTTCAACTTGTTCAAAGCTATCTTCCGGGTGCTGCTCAGCTTCTTGGTGATGCTCCTCGGTATGGATGACGTACTCGTCTTTCGGGGCCTCGAACTGCTCCTCATGCTCGTAGCTCTCCGACTGGATGACGTGCGGTTTTTCGGATGCACGGATCGTGGCGGTTTCTTCTTGTACTGGTTCAAGTCGGGTGTGTTCTTCTTCGACAGGCTCTTCTACTTTTCGATGCTCTTCCTCAAAAGTTTCATCGGAATATTGACGTCCCGCCGTCTCTTCTACCAAGTCTTCACGCTCGAAGTTTGTCCGCTCCTCTTCGGCCGGGCTGTAAGATTCCGAATGGACCAGATATTCCGGGTCTTCCGTGGCCACAGCTTGATACTCTCCCTTGGAGCCTCTCCTCTGCAACGACTCCACAGCTCCCTTAACCCCATATGCGGCGAGGGCTACCGGTGCAGCAACTACACCTCCAGCCACCATCCCGGCCTTCTTGGCAAAGCCGAGCACCTTCGAGCCGAGCCCCTTCTTCTCCGGCTTGTACTCGCCGACGAAGGCCTCACCCTCGCGATGTTCAAGCTCCTCACCCTCGGACTCAGAGTCGGGCTTGTAGGCTGTCTGTTCTTGATAGAACTCTGGGTCCTTGGTCTCAGGAACTGAATTTTCTACAAGTTCTTCTTCTACCTGGCCCTCATGGACGAGTGGTTTCTCCTCAATAAAGTGAGCATATCCTTCCGTTTTTGGCGAGGAATGGAGCTCGATCTTCTCAAGCTCCTCTGGGGATTCGGACAACGGTACCGATGGGCGAGCCGGCTCGTCAAAGTGAGCTTCATCGTGTTCTTCCATGGACTCCTCGCGAATCTCGTGCAGGGTGGTGACCGGGCTCTGCGTGCGCTCTTCATACGCCTCGTAGTCGTCGCTGGGGATGATGTAGCCGTCGCCGGGGCTTTGGGCTTGTTCAGATTCGACTGTCTGTTCATTGTAGGAGATTCTAGCAGATTCTGGAGTATGCTCAACGTGCTCGTGGTGTTCAATTGGTTGCGGGGATGATGCTTTTTCCTCTTCAGAAAGTGCTGAGATCGACTCCCGACGTTCGGATTCTGAATAGGGTTTGTCCTCGGGTACAGCCTCGTCGTCAACCCTGTACTCGTCGGAAGGTATGATCGGACTTTCGGCGAAGTATCCAACTGGTTGAGAAGCATGCGACTCCCTTCGGCTTCCAGCTTCCGGATAATCTTCAGAAACGCGTGAGCTTCGTCGTTCAGCCTCATCCGGCCCCTCCTCGCCCTCCACAAACCCGCTGACGCTCTCATGACGCAAATGGTGCCCGTGGACTTCAGTCGGTTTCTCATAGTGCTGGGCTTCATCAAACGCATCCTCCCTGCCCTGGGTCTGCCCTGAAGATTCCGGCTCCATCTCATGCTGATGGTACTTTGCCTCCTCTGGGTGCTCAAGCTGGTATTGCTCACTGTCAAACTCCTGGCGGAATTCGGAGCCTGAATCCGGGCGTGAGGTCCTTTGCGCAGGCGACTCGATGCTTTCGGCTCTTCCAGAAGTTCTTGATTCCGGACCGCTAGTGGCTGGGGATTCGAGCTGAGGCTCTTCGTGGCGTTGGGAGTGGTTGTCGGAGTCGGCCAAAAACTCAGGTCTCTGCTGATGCTCTTCAAAACCAACTTCACGTTCTTGGCGCAGATGATGTTCTTCCTCATGAAGTACAGAGGGTTTGTCAGATTCGACAGGAGATTCAGGTCTTTCCTGGTGCTCCTCAACCCCAGCTTCACGTTCCTGGCGTAGATGATGTTCATCTTCATGATGCATCGAAGGTCCGTCAGATTCAGCAAGAGATTCAGGTCTGTGCTGATGCTCCTCAAACCCGGCGTCCCGCTCTTGTCGCAAATAGTCCTCATCTACATGCCTGCCGGCTTCTTCTGGCGTTTCCGGATGTGATTCTTCAAAGCGTTCAGGCTCCTCTTGAACCTGATCAAACCCAGTCCTCCTCTCTTGCTCCGCGCGGTACAATTGCTCCTCTGGCTTCGCACTGTCGGCCAACGGAGAGCCAGGTGCGGCTTCATGAACTTCACGATGATGTTCATCTACCGAAGGCGAGCGTCCCTCTTCGGCATGACCGCCAAGGTCGGCCTCACTTTCTGGAGACTCAGGGTGCGATTCTTCATCCAGTCCACCATCATATCCATGGGATTCGATAACAGCCGCTTCCTCCCCTGGCATCGACACCTCTTCCACAGATGGGGTTGTGGGAGGCTCGTGCTCCCGAAGGAGTTCACCAACGTCACGCTCTTCCTGGACTTCTAGCGGTTCGACGTCAAGTGAGTCCGGGCGATGGAGGCGGGGCCTCGTCTCCTCAATGGATCGCGCCTGGTGGTGGCTAGGGGCTTCGGTAGTTTCGTGTTTTGCCTCATGCTCAAATTGGTATTCCTCACTTTCAACGACATGGCGATGTTCGTGCTCAATGTGCGGTTCTTGCGACGATAGGTCGTGATGTTCAGAGTAAACTTCTTGGGACTCGAATCTCGGCTCTTGATCATATTGATGTTGCGCTTCATAAGCCTCAGAATGTACGACAGAGCTTCCAGAAGCCCTCCTCTCCTCAGGATGTTGCTGCTCAAGTTCAGGGGTCTCGGCTTTGTGGGGAACTTCTTCCTGATGTTCGCCGTAGGCTCCTTCAGCCTCATCGAATCTTGGCTCTTGATCGTAGTGATGCTCGGTTTCATAGGCTTCAGAATGAACGTCAGGGCTTCCAGAAGTTCTCCTTTCTTCAGGATGATGTTGCTCAGCTTCAGGAGTTTCAGCTTTGTGATGAACTTCTTCGTGATGATGGGTGTGTGCTTCCTCGGATTCTTCAAATCGTGGTTCTTTCTCATAGTGTTGCTCCACTCCATAATCTTCCGAATGGATGACAGGGCTCTCCTTCTCAGCATCCGGAGTCTCAGCTTGTGACTGTACTCCTTCAAGATGATGTTCATCCTCCTTCTCCCCATCTCCCTTCAGCCTATCGTAAGCTTCTTTTGCTCCAATTGCAGCGAGAGCTACAGGAGCTGCAATAACTCCTCCAGCCACCATTCCAGCCTTTTTCGCGAATCCAAGCAGTTTATCACCAAGATCTTGTTTGTGTTCTTCTGCTTCTTCTTCGTGAACTTCATATCGTTCGGTGGTACCTTCTGGGGTCGTGTGTCTCCACATTTCTTCATGAGTCTGAGAGCCATCGGGGTGGGTCGTCACCCTCTCGGTGTGGATGTCCTTTACGACTTGGCTCTCGACGATCGGGGATTCTGGCTCAACGTGGTGTAGCTCAGTCTCACTTTGAGCAGCAGCTGGACTCGGTGCGTCCTCATGTTCCTGGACTTCAAAGCCAGCGACTTCAGGACTCCTTGAAGCAAGTTCCTCACGTTGCTGCTCCTCTTCAACCCCATACTCGACCCTCGAGTCCGTTGACCTCGGGCTCTCCTCATCCGACTGCTTGCCGAGCTCCCTTTGTTCTTCCTCCATCTCAAAGCTGTTGGCCGGAGAGGCAGGCCGCTCATAAACTTGATCGCGGACTTCAACCCGTTCAGCAGCATCTCTCTGGGAGATCGAGCTCCCTGCCGTGGAGTGGACTTCAGCCTTGACTTCGTCCTCAAATTCCACCCTTGAGTCGGTTGACTTTGGGCTCTCCTGCCCTCGTTGCTCTTCAGCTTCCCGGGCTTGCTTTGCCATTTCATAGCTGTCAGCCGGGGAAATGGGACGTTCAAAGTCAGCTTCAGCTTCTGGCTGATACTGCTCAAGCTGGTACTCCTCGCTCTCAATGACCGACGCATCGTACTCCGGTACCGGACTGGCGGGTGGTGTCCTCGTCTCAGTTTCAAACTGCCGGTCCTCCTCTTCGAACTGCGATTCGGGTTCGGGCTCTACGGCTTCCACTCTGATCTGCACTGGCTCGGCGTCGTGGGTCGCCTCGGATTCTTCATAGGTCGGTGGCTTTCCTTCTTGCTCAATCGCATCAGCATCCTCCCGCTCACCCTCCTCATCCGACGTTCTCGACAAGTCTTCATAAGTCTGATACTTGCTCTCCTCCATTGCATGGAGATCGGTGCTCCGTGGTGTCGTCGGGGCGCTGGCGACGTCTTCAAGTCGTTCGCTCTCTTCATAGCTGGGTGGTTGGGCTTCGAGAACAGCCTTCTCAACTTGGCTCTGGGCCAGTTGAGCTTCAAAGTGTTCGGGGTGGACGTCGTGTGCTTCTTTTAGGGCTGATTCTTGCACGAAGGTTGGCTCTTCATGATGATCATATGCTGCTTCATGGCGTTGAGTAACGGGAGAGTCACCTCGTGCCGCAGTTTCCGCCGGCTCTAAGCCACTTTCAAATGGTGTAGGTTGCTCAGCTTCATGCTGTCGTTCTCCAAGCTCCTGGTGCTCTGGAACGACCTCACGCTCACTTTGGAGCGGGCTTTCAGCGACCGAAGCTCTGGCCGGAGTTTGTTGACGAGCTTCTTCCTCGGGGCGAACTTCTTCAAGACTTCCAGAACGCTGACTTTCGCGTTCCATCCCGTCTTCAGTCTCGAATCCTGGTTCTTGACCCTTGTGACGTTCAGTTTCATACGTTTCAGAGTGAATGGAGCTTTCCGACTTTCTCTTTTCTTGAGCGTACTGCTGCTCATCTTCTGGTGTCACGGCTTTGTGGTGAACCTCTTCGGGATGAGCTCCTTCAGCCTCGTCGAACCTTGGCGCTTGGTCGTAGTGATGCTCGATTTCATAAGCCTCAGAATGGACTACAGCGCTTCCAGAAGTTCTCCCTCTCCCGGGATGGTGCTGCTCAACTTCAGGAGTCTCGGCCTTATGCTGAACTTCTTCGTGATGCTCGACATGGGCCCCTTCAGCCTCATCGAACCGTGGTTCTTGCTGATAGTGTTGTTCTACTCCATATGCTTCCGAATGGATGGCCGGGCTCTCCCTCACAACTTCCGGGGTCTCAGCTTGTGGCTGTACTCCTTCATGATGATGTTCATCCTCCTTTTCACCATCTCCCTTCAATCGATCATAAGCTTCTTTTGCTCCAATTGCAGCTAGAGCAACAGGAGCTGCAATAACTCCTCCAGCCACCATTCCAGCCTTTTTCGCGAATCCAAGCAGTTTATCACCAAGATCTTGTTTGTGTTCTTCTGCTTCTTCTTCGTGAACTTCATATCGTTCGGTGGTACCTTCTGGGGTCGTGTGTCTCCACATTTCTTCATGAGTCTGAGAGCCATCGGGGTGGGTCGTCACCCTCTCGGTGTGGATGTCCCTAACTACTTGGCTCTCGACGATCGGGGATTCTGGCTCCGCAACCCCTTTGGGGTTTGCAGGAACTTCGTGCTCACGCTCCTCAAAAGCTTCAACGTCCGGGGATTCGTGAATGACATCGTGCTGATATTGCTGTTGCTCAGCGTCCCGGCTTTCGTCAAAGGATTCGCGCTGTACCTCGGACTTCCTTCTGGCCGGTACCCCTACGAACTGCTCTTGGGGTGGCTCTTCGTGATCCCGGTATTCTCGTTCTTGATAGCTTTCTTCGATTGCTTCCGCCTCTGCGTCATCTAGGACTTCGGCTACCAGCTTCTCTGATGCTTCCGCAATCGAGGAACGTTTGGTGTCTTGGTGAGGACCTTGTACGGATCTTTCGGAAAGCGGGGTCTCGGGTTGTTGCTGCTCTTGAGCTTGAGCCTCATATCCCCCTGTGGGCGGGCGGTACGTCTCGTACTCGTAGTGCTCATTAGGGTAGGTCGTCTTCTCCTCGTAGTACTCTTGGCTCTCGACAATTGGAGACGGCTGATCAGATTCAACCGGGCTGGTTGGTGTCTGCGGTACGGATTCTGCCGGATGGGCTTCCGGTAGGGGCGCCTCACCATGTTCGTCAAGTTCAGGATGAGCTTCAGCGAGCTCATGAGCCTCTTGATGTCGTTCAACTTGTGCACTTCTATCCGTGGCCGGATATCCATCCACTGGTTCCCCATAAGGCCCAAAGTCGGGCACTTCCGGATCGACGTAGTACTCCTTCGACTTCTCCTCCTCGAATTGAGTGACTTCAATTGCCGGAGACGCTTGAACATCTTCGTCCTCGTCGTAAACTGACGACTTCCTTTCCGTTTCCGTCGCCGGACTAGCAGGAGCTTCTTTATGGAGTTCACGATGCTCCACATGTTCAGCACCGACTTCAGATAGAACCTCTCGCTCATACTCCGCGGATTGAACATGATGTTCTTCACCGGCCAGCGAACTTCTTGGTGATGCCGGGAATTCGGCTTCTGCCGCAGCCTCGGCAACTTCAGGGTGTACGGCAAAGTGCTCAGATGAGGTGGATTCACGACGGTGCTCTTCTGAATAGGCTTCAGAGGGAGTCTGATCCTGCTCCGAAGCTTCATATCTCTTCTCCTCGCCAGAGGGAATGGGTGACGTCGCGTCAGGTTCAGGTTCTTGGTACTCGTGCTCAATCTCTGGAGTTGGCGCTTGTAGATGAACATCTTCGTGCTGCTCCCCGTCAGCTCCTTCGGCCTCGTCGAACCTTGGCTCTTGGTCGACGTGATGCTCGGTTTCATAAACCTCAGAATGGACTACAGCGCTTCCAGAAGTTCTCCTCTCTGCGGGGTGCTGCTGCTCAATTTCAGGGGTCTCAGCTTCGTGGTGGATTTCCTCGTGATGTTGGACATAAGCTTCCTCGGATTCTTCAAATCGTGGTTCTTTCTCTTGGTGTTGCTCCACTCCATAATCTTCCGAATGGATGACAGGGCTCTCCTTCTCAACATCCGGAGTTACAGCTTGTGGCTGTACTCCTTCATGATGATGCTCCTCTTCCTTCTCCCCATCTCCCTTCAACCGATCATAAGCTTCTTTTGCCCCAATTGCAGCTAGAGCTACAGGAGCTGCAATAACTCCTCCAGCCACCATTCCAGCCTTTTTCGCGAAACCAAGCAGTTTATCTCTCAGGTCTCGTTTCTCTTCTTCTCCTTCTTCTTCATGAACTTCATACTTTTGCGTGGTACCTTCTGGAGTAGAATGTGTCCATAATTCTTCATGAGTCACAGAGCCATCTGGGTGTGTCGTTACCCTCTCGGTGTGGATGTCTCTCACGATCTGGCTTTCGACAACTTCCGGTCCTTGATCATGGTGCTTCCCAACTTCAGAATCCGAAACTTCTCCTTTAGAAGTCTCGAAGTCAGCTTCGAATTCTGGCGCAGACGGTTTCCGGGTTTCTTGGCTGGTGGGGGCTTCATGTACTTCTTCCTCCGAATCCATCACGGATTGAGGAGATGCAGGCTGCTCTTCAACTTCCGTTTCAACCTCCTTGAGATACACAATCTCTTCTGGTTGTTCAAAGGTGTGAGAAGTTTCTTTGTGCTCTACGATAGGCTCGACGTTTTCAACCTGTGAGTTCAGGCTCTTGACGCTTGCCGATTCCTCCGGAACCTCTTGATCCACCGGCTCCTCAACGACCTCCTTGAGATAGACAACCTCTTCTGGCTGCTCCTGTTCAGTTGAAGCGGTAGTTCCAGCAACAGGCTGAGCTTCAGAAGCCAGCTCTTCTTCCTGGATTCCGACTTGCGAGCTCAGGCTCTTCACGCTGGCGGTGTCTTCGGGCAGTTCAGGCTCCTCTGGGGTCGGTGAGCGTTGGCGGATGATGGGGATATCTTCTCGGCGGGGAGAGTATTCCTCGAGGTGGTGCTCAGCTTGTTGGGATGCTTGGTCAGCTTCGGGGTATGGATGGTACTGCTCATACTCGTAGCGCAGCTCGTCGTCTACGACTTGTTGAGGGTACTCCTCTTCTTGAGCCGGCGATGCTGGTTGTACCGTCTCGAGCTCCTGGGTCCGTTCGAGCTCTTCGCCGGGGCTTAGAACTTCTTCACGTTCTTCGTGGCGGCGTTCTTCTACCACTTCCGTTTTTTCAGGTTTAACTCGATGTTCATCTTCTGATGCTCCGGCGTGTTCTTCCTTGAACTGTTGCGGGCTTTCGGGCTCGTAATGATGGTACTGCTCGTACTCGTAGCGCAGTTCCTCGTCGACTATTTGGGGTTGTTCGTCTCTAAATTGCGCTGCTGGGACATTGACTTCATCTCCAGACGGCGCCTTATCAATAGGCGATTCAGCGTGCTCAACCTGTTGTTGCTGAACTTCTTCGTGTTGTGCGTCGTGGACCGGGAGTTGATGCTCATCGTGTTCATGAACGGCCTGTTCTTCGGAATCAAATTCGGTCGGTTCGTAGCTGATCTGCTCCTGCCTCGCCGGGCTGTCCGAGTAGGGGTGGTACTGCTCGTACTCGTAGCGAAGTTCCTCATCGGTCGCGGGGAGGATGTGTGCTTGGTGTTCAGCTTCAACCTGTGGTGCTTCGTGGTGATGTACTTCATCGGTCTTCAAGCTGTACACCGGGCTTTGAGCCGCTTCCGCTTCCGATGATTCTATCTGACTTCTAGCGAACGACTCCTGCTCGTGGCTTCTGGTCATGGATACATCGCTCTCGGCCATTGAACTTCTTCGGCGTGGGCTTTCCTCGACTTCCTGATGCTCCTCGTGATATCGGGCGTCTGCAGGCTGTTCAACCACATTCTCGTGCTCCGGTTCCTCCTCCTTGTCCCCCTTCAACCTATCATATGCTTCCTTGACCCCGTAGGCGGCGAGAGCAACAGGTGCAGCCACAATCCCTCCGACCACCATCCCGGCCTTCTTCACCTTGTCGCCGAATCCTTCTTCATCAGAATCAATGGGCGATCGCTTCCCTGGAGGAGTACTTCTGAGTTCGGCCGTCTTCACCGGCTCATCGGCCTCAACGGCCAGCGGCTTCCTCATGCCGATGAAGTTCAGCGGCCTTCGAGCGATCTTGTACTTCCTCAAGATGTTCAGCCGGTTCTTCTCGGCCCTCAATGTGGTACTCCATGCGCGTGTGTGTCTCCTTAATGTGCCGTCGTACCCGTCTGATGTTTCCGTGCTCGTCCTCCTCCTCGACCTCCTCTTCCGAGGATCCGATTGGGGAGTGGGCGCTGGGTGGAGTCGTGCGGATCTCGGCCTTCTTGATCTCGTCCTCATATTGCTGAGTTTCCGGGCTAGCCTCGAGCATTGGGGTTTCGATATCTTTCGGGGCTTCAGCAGTGTAGGACAGCTCGGCGGGACGATCAGGCTTTTCTTGAACATCTTCCAGATGATGATGATGCTCAGCAAGTTGTCGATCTCCAGATGATGCTTCAGAATCTCGTCGTTCTTTTTGAGCTTCAGCTTCCGGGGCGTGCGTACCAGAAGTGTGGCTTTCAGCTTCGGAAGCACGTCGTGAGGCTTCAGAGGCTTGGCGGCTGGCTGGAGCTGGAGAGGGTCGGAGTTCATCTTCAGACAGCCGGCTTTCGGCTTCAGAAATACGTCGTGCGGCTTCAGAATCTTCACGGCTAGCTGGTGCGGGCTGATGTTCATCGCCAGAAAGTTGCGATGCCGTACGTCCATGCTGCTCTACGGATTCACGACGACCCACTACTTCCGGCTCGTCCTCAGCCTCACCTTCCCTTCTGGGGATGTGGAATTCTGTCCTGGTGTACTTCTCCGTGATCCGCTTCTTCCTGATCACTCTCCGGACGTTGCCATGCTCGTCCTCCTCTTCTACCTCCTCCTCCGAAGACTCAATTGGGGCAGAGGCTTGAGCAACAACTTCTTCCACGCTCTTTGTTGCTTCCTCAACGGACGGCCGCCGGGCGTGGACTTCGGCGGGTTCGACCCCGGTGAATTCGGGCTTTTCGGTCTCCTTCTCCTCGCTGACCCAGGACTCGGCCTTGGAGGCTGATGTTCTCCTGGAGAGTTCCGGGGATTCGGGCTTGGCGTCGGAGGGGCGGCTCTGCTCAGAATATTGGCTAGCATGGGATTCGGCCATGGAGCGTCGAAGATGTTCATCTTCCGGGGATTCTGGTCTGGCTTCTGAGAGCTGGGTGGAGGCTCGGCTGGCTGGGGTTTCGGCTTCGGAAGCTCGTCTTGAGGCTTCAGAAGCTTGACGGCTGGCTGGCAAAGGTTTGTGTTCAGCTTCAGAAGCACGTCGTGATGTCTCAGAAGCTTGACGGCTAGCTGGCGAGGGTCGGTGTTCATCTTCAGATAGACGCCGTTCAGCTTCAGAGACCCGTCGTGAGGCCTCAGATTCCTGTCGGCTAGCTGGAGTTGGACGATGTTCACCTCCGGATAGTTCAGTTGACATACGTCCGTATTGCTCGGCTTCTGGCTCTTCCTCAGCCTCACCCTCCCTTCTGGGGATGTGGAATTCAGTTCTCGTGTACTTCTCCGTGATGCGCTTCTTCCGGATGACCTTCCGGACATTGCCATGCTCATCTTCTTCCTCAACCTCCTCCTCAGATGTCTCATGGGTAGCGGCGGAGGTTCTGCGTGGGGCGGCGACTGGGGCATGGCCGACTTGTTCGTCTCGTGGCGGGGTTGGCGGTTGTTCACGGGCGATCGACTCGAACACGGCAATTCGATCCTTCACCGAGCCCATCGATTCGACGGGTGAATCTGGAAATTTATGGTCAAGCCGGATCGTATGTACTTTTCATGGAAACGCTCCAGTTCGAACTCGGTGGGTTCGACGCCCTTCGAGGAGATGAACAACAGCGTCTTTTAGATTTTTTAAGCTAACTATTAGATCGAAAATCACCTGCCAGCCACGCCCCGGTCGTAATCTTATTTCATTAATGCGATTAATTAAATTTTATGATTTGCAATTTCTTGCTTTGTTTTTTTTCGCGCTTTACGTAACGTAAATTAGTACTAATGCAGAAAAATTGTTACAAATTTCGAAAAAAGTTACGAGACTCATTTTCCCGCTTGATCCTTTAAATCACTATTTTTGAAATTTAAATAATTTGTATTGTTATGCATATATGCCTTTACAATCGTACCTCAACCAAACCGATACCCAATAAAACAAAATAGGTTAACTGGTGCTGGGAAAGGAAAAAATTAAGGATTACTTTTTCTAAGAGCACTTGGTCTAGGCCTAACTTCAACTTTAATATCTCGATGTATTTTGAATCCCTTAGACACCTCTAAATACGTTTAATCATCGAAATTTCTCAAAAAGATGTTTTGGCGAACCTAATGGTCTTTCCCTAGATCGGACGGTTTGCCAACAACTAAAACTTACTAAGAAACAAAAAATTCCATTTTACGAGTTCGTTTTTAATTCGTTAAAGATACTATAGGTCATCAAGCAGCGTTTTATTTACAAATACTTGTATGCTAAGTGGCACTAATAAACCGTTTTCGAATTTAAAGAGACATGTACAGCAGCTGGCGACCAGATTTTTTCACGCCGGAGTCGAATCTTCCTGGTATTTAACAGGTTTTCTCGACAAACTGCCACTTTTTCAAGGAGTTCCGCTCAATGAGCCAAAGGTCTGTTCTTACATGACTTAGAATGCCTCCAGATGTGTCAATGTCCCTTTAAAATTTGAATTTAGGTTGTCTCAGCCTTATTTTTCCTCATCTTGCACTTTGCAAAATCCCAAGCCTTTCTATTCCGCAACCAAACTACCGTAATAGCTTCTGTAACGGCCCTCGGATTTTTGCAAAATTGCTAGAAACTACAATTTTTTTGTAAATCTAGAGATTATGAAAATTTTGCCTATTATAATCCGCTAATATTAGATCTAAATATATAAAATACATTTCTTAAGAAAATTTACGAAATTCATGTTTTGTGTGCCGAATGATACTGTTGGGTCTCTATATTTCCAGTGTCAGCATTTATATCTCATCTACCGTAACCATCGTGTGTCGCTCTGTATTTTTGTAGTAATACCGGGAGTGGGCACTGTAGACCACAGACTACAGACTACACCAAATGACGACAGCGTGTGATGCGAAGCGGTGCAGTGTGCAATTCACAATTTTCAATCATCTTTTTTTGTTGATTCAATTTTTGGAAATAAGGGTGTATATAGGCGTACAACGGAACCAAGCAGACACACACGACGACAGGGGATAAACTAAAGCTGTTGATTTCGGTCAGTACGGCAGTGGAGAAGGCAATGCTGCTGGCGGTGGTGGTGGTACGGTAGCTGGGTCACGTTTTAGGAAGCGTGGAAAAGGTAGGAAGTTCAGAGCACCACCACCATCATCAGCCAAAAAGGGAGAACTGGAGCTGTAGGAGTTGAGCTAGGAGCTGGGAGCTATGATCTGGGAGCTACAAAAGCATGCCGCGACGAGTTTCATCGCGGTTGCGTCATGGTTTTTGTCTTCTTGGTATTTCTGAGCGCCTGGCTCCCAGCTCCCAGATAAGGTTTAGACCAAGAGCTGGGAGCTAAAAGCTAAAAAAACTAAGGGCTAAAACGCGTGTCACGCTTGCGTCGCGGCTCTAGCTTCTAGCTCCCAGCTCTCAGTTCCTAGCTCCTGGCTCCTAGCACGACTTTCACAAATTTCCCGGTGATTGTTATGGATAGAGAAATAGATATTTTGATAGAAAGTTTTCAATGATGGGCTTGAAATTTCGAAAAAAATCTTGGCAACTTCGAAACCAATTTTTTGATTTTGATGCCAATTCCAATCCCAAAAATTATAATTTTCGTCATTCCAACGCCCAACATCGAAAACTCGAAAAACTAAAAAGTGACACACACCACAACAACGAAAACTGAAAATAGGCAGGGAAAACGGAAAAATTCACGCATAAAATTAAGGCATGTTAATTATGGTTTTCTGGTGGGTGCGGGGACAGAAAAAGAAAGATAAACTAAAAAGCAGAAAACGAAAAACGAAAAACACAACTGGGTGCACACTAATAGACACACACGAAATGAGGAGGGTGGGTGGTTGGGTGGAGTTACGGTAAGGCCGGGGCAGGTTTTAGGATTTGGGGTGTAATTTAGGTTGGAAATAGTTTTTTATGATCACTTTAGGTCGATTACGATAAGTAAAAGGTTTAAGTCAAAAATTTCTCGTTTTTTTCTTGGAAAATTGACTTTTCCAGTTCCATTTCGTTCCATTTTCGTCGTTTTCTTCAGCTTTTTAGTGCCAAAAACACCCCAAAATCTGCGCTACCGTACCATTACCGTAACCAGCTATTTTTTTTGCATAATTTGGGTGGGAAAATAAAGCGTGGCCACGAACACAAAAACAATCAGTAGTGGCGGGGAGCAGGACCGGCATCTTGTCATTTTTCCCTTTTTTCAAAGTCGATCAATTTCCATGGGGGACACTTATTCCGTGAAATAAGCCTATAGGAAATTTGGGGTCTTTTTGAGTGATTTTAAAGGGGTTGGGAAGGCTGGGGCGAAGGGGCGTGGCTTGGCTGGTGATCTTCTGATGAGGCAGCGGATGGCCGGTCTACTCACCAGGCGCCGGCTCGGCTTCTCCTGAAAAAAATATAGTAATAGCAGTTGAAAAATGCTTCCTTAATGCAAATCGCTGAAAGCGCTTCCCAAAGAATCTCTGCTAGCCTGCCCTCTCCCAATTCCTCAAAGATTCTCTGCTAGCCTGCCCGCTCCAAATTCTCCCTATAACGCGCCCGATCTACCGTAACCCACCAGGTAGTGCACTTCTTGTAGTCGTCACAAGCCGTGTCATCCGTTTGCTGACAACCAGGGCTCCGTCCTCATCGGTGAAGCCCTCCTCGGCCGTTTCCTTCTTTTGGGTAGTGCCTGAAGAACGTCATTTTCCATTTGATACAACCGATACAACCTGAAGAACCTAAAGCTTAACTTAGGCTTAGCTTAGGCTTCGCTTAGGCTTAATAGGGGGGAGAAGGGAGATTGGGGGGAAGGGGGGGTGAAGAAAAGGGAAAAGGATGGGGCCGGGGGGGGGAGAAAAGGAAAGGGTTTGGGCGGGCGCCGATTTTGGTGGGGGGGGGGGGAGTAATTTGGGCGGCCGATTAGTTAGGGTTGGTTAAGAAAAGAAAAAAAAGCCTGCAAAAAATAACAAAGCAAAATTAAGCTCAGCTTAATTCCTTAATACCTAGGCTTTTCAACTCACTCTTAGTTAAGCTATTGACTGGTGGTGACGCGCGCGCGCTCCCCCCCCATGAGCCCCCCCCCGTTTTCCCCCCCCCGCCGGACCACCCCCCCCCCCCCCCCCGGGCGGGGGCGCGCGCGCTTCCACCCCTTGTGCTCTCCCCCCCCCCCTTTTAGCTTAACTGGGCTTAGGTTCTGATACATAACCAAATACCCACCTGATTCCGCATGGGCGTCGCTACCATTGCCGGTCACTGAAAAAATGGGATTAACTTAAGTTCCGATTTTCGATTGATTAATATCTATATATTTAATCCCAATATCTAATTGTCTATTTTTTTTAGTTAAGCGGTGCTCCCATTATTTTTGGCTGGCTGCCAGCAAATCAATATGGCTGGCCCGGGCGACCGGCCGGCTGGCCTCCTGTCGTGGTGCTTTAAACTGGCAAGGAGGGGGGGGCTGGTGGATGAGTGTCCAGCGGGAAGAACCGGAAATTTCTTTGGATACGCATTGTTTGGGCGGGATTTGGATACTTTCGTACTTATCAATACGCACTACTGAGAGCATACCTCACCCAGTAATACGAGATAATACGCATTAATCGAAGTTTACACCGGATCGCCTTAATTGGAGGTATCTGCCTATCAATTTGATAAGCCTGCGCATTAGTGGGAGGCCCTGAAAACACCAAACTGCAAAGAGTATTGAGCGGAATTATTTTGTGAGATTTTTGCGGTCGCAGAGTATTTTTCCGAATTGCACCTATATACACAATACGTTACGACAGTGTACTGTGTAGCTAGAAGTGTAGCCCGAATTAGGATTAACAGACAGAATACACCCACGGTTGGCCAAAAAGGAAAAAATTCATGGGTTTTTGCCAAAAATTACAAAGCCATTTTCTAAAAATTTGCATAATTCTAAAATTGCTTGCTGCGGTAAAAAATGTAAAGGTAACGACCGATTTAAAAATTTATAAAAGGCAAAAAAATTGGTTCACTGTATCAATTTTGGCGAGAAAAATGTTAAAAAATCCTTAAAATAACGCAGAAAAAGTGTCAACAAAACTTCTAATGAATTTTTAGCGTCTTAAAAATACAGTAATCGATGCTAAAATAGAAAAATACGGTAATTACCCGCCACACAGACATACCCACAAACAAACACCAAAAATCAAGCACAACGCCCAACCGAGACTGTCCAACATTTGCCGATGAAGGCTTCGGATGTGATCCGGCGATAGTCCGACCATTCCCGGCGTCTCCGTCTCGTACACCGTCTTTGTCGTCGTCGTGTGTCGACTCTGGTTGACCCGGATTTGAATGTCATGTCCGGGTGCTGCAGCTGCCAGCGATCGCGCCACCGCATCGGCGACAGCCGGATCTGGGGGACAGACAGCTCCCGACTCCCGCAGCTCCTCCTCCAACTGCCTCAATCGCTCGACGGCTTCGCGATGTCGGCTGGGGTTGTGCATCTTCAGCTCGGTGAAGAATAGGAGAAGCCGGCCAAGGATCGGCTCGGCTTTTGGGGAACCTGGGCCGGGACAAGGGCCCGGGATGGGGGCGTAGCCTGGCACATTCCCCCTGTTGTCCAGAGTATCGATCCGGATTGACCGGGCTGAGGCGAGGATTGGGATCTGGGCATCGTCAGCTGGGGTTTGGTTGTCGTCCGTAAGTTGTATCGGGTCGTACTGGGTTGAAGATGGGGGTTTTCGAGACTCGGGTGGGTTAGTTTGGTGGTGCTCATCTGAAGGTTTCACAACATTAACTTCATGCACACGGAATCCTGGGGATGAGGTGGAGGGGAGCAGATCTTCAGGATTCGGTAGATGATCAGTGTCATCGGAGCGTTGCGTAGTGTTCATATCTTAGTGCAGGTCAGATAACTCTGAAGTCCTGACGTCTTCTGATTTCGCCAGAAATAGGATTGAGCCTGAACGGCTACAATAGGTCGAGCGCGCTTGGCATGCTCAGGTAAAGCTTCAGAAGCACAGACCAAGCTTTATAAGCTCAGGGAAAGCTTCAGAAATGTACAAAATTTTCCAAAAGTCCAGAATTAGCGTCAGGATGACATGTTTTTGCCCTCCAGAATCCAGGATTCCACAGCAATCGGCAGTCCGGGTTTCCGTATCGCCAAGTATCGTCGCGTAGTCGAGGTAGTTCCGGCCCGAGTAGTCCGTTAGGCACCTATTGACACCACCACCTAACAGCCCACAACAAAGAAGACAACAGCTGCCGGCCCGAGCGGGCAGTAGGTAGGTAGGTTTCTGGTTTTCAGGTTTCCGGGAAGCCCAAAAACCTAGGCGAAGCCTGAGCCGAAGCTTAAGCCTAAGCCTAAGATTCCACGTTACAAAACGACGCAACGTTAAAATACAATTAGCATACCTCACATCACATCACACCACACCACAGTATGAGAACAACATTTTTTTGGAGAATTTTTTACTCTGCGACCTTTAAAATTCCGCTCGACAACTCTTTGCATATTTATGGTGTCATTTATTATGGAGATGGACTCGGGGCGCAAAAATTCAAGAAGAAAAATCGTAATAAAAACAATTCAGGCGGGGCGGGGCTTATGCAAATTAGGCAGAGGGGCGGGGCTAGAGTGCTGGCAGTAAGTTGGGAGGGCGGAAAACAAGCATCGTATGGTGTCGTAGTGGCGTACAGAGAGAAAGTGAAAGAGAGAGAGAGAGAGAGAGAGAGAGAGAGAGAGAGAGAGAGAGAGAGAGAGAGAGAGAGAGAGCGGCGGCGGCGCGTGTCGCATAGCGGTTAGAGAAGGCAGTGTGCATTTTTAAAGGGGCAGGGAAGTAACCGAGGCGAGTGCGGGTGGGTGAGCTGACTAACAATAATGTCCCCCCAAAGAAATCGAACTATGGCTTTTTAAAGGGGTGGCGACAGGGTAGGGCGTCAATAGGCAACTGGCGTAGTCCTAAGTATGAAGCGGAAACGGGGGATAAAGCGGAGGCTATAATTAGTGGGCGTGGCTACCTTGCAGCGAGGCCGGCTCGTCTCCGGAGCTCTGATCGCCATCTGAAAAGGGTAAGGGTGCGTGGTAGGTCGGAGGAAATGCCGAACGACTTCGGCAAGTACTGGAAGATTTTTGAGATTTCATGGTCTCGGGTTTGACTTAAGTAGTAGGTTTTAGAGTATCGTCTACTTCTTGGACTCCTCGAATTTCGATGCCAGAATTCCCCGAAAAAAATGATCCCCGACTTCGACAAGTTCGGGGTTTAAGGCCAAGATTTATCTCTTAAGAATTTTTCGCGTCAGCTGTTTTGTTCTGAACTTCTTGAAGACATGCTGCTAAGCATATAACTCCAGTTATCCCCCAATCCCACGGTTTCAACAGGTTCAACAAGTATCAGCCGCAGATAACCCCGCTAGACTTGCTGCTAAAGTTCCACAAAATATGTTTCTGTACTCCTTGGCCTGCTCACCATCCAGCGGCTCCTCCTCCTCATCGATCCGCTCCTCGCGGGTGTACACCTCGGCGCTCTCGGTGAACGCCTCGCCCGGCTCGCCCGCGTGCAGCTCTTCCCATTTTTGGCTGAAAATAGTGGATAGTTTCGGCGAGTTCAGGAGCAGATTCTAGTAGCTGTTCTCCCTACCGTTCCTCCTCGGTCAGCTCGACGATCTTGTCCTCGCGCTTCTCCGCCACAGCGACGTCATCCTCGTACGTCGTCGTGATGGTCCGCTCCTCGACAACTGGGCCGTCATCGGTGTCGTGGACATGGCGCTCGGTTCGGACAACTGTGCGCACCTCGGAGACCGGGATCTGCAAGTAGATGAACAGTTTTGGACTTGTATTTAGTGATTCCGTAAAAAAATTATTACTAATTATTAATGTCAAATTACTCCTATTCTCAAAAACTATTAAACTTATATTGAACGTCTAGAAGACGCGCCGTTTCCTAACCTTCCGAATGGTATAAAAATCATTCCAATCTGACAATCCTACGCTGAGATATAGTCAAAAACACTAAAAAAATCGTCCTTACCTCTTGCTCATGCTCTTCCTCCTCCTTGATCGGGCTGCGCTTGCGCTCTTCGGCGACCTCGGCGTGCACCGGCAGGTCTTGGACTTGGGAGTGAGCAACGACGGGCGCGACAAGCCGTTCCTCGTGTACTTCATGGCGTTCATACTTCTCCTTCCTCGGGGAGGGCACCTCCACCTTTTGGTAGATGTCCGATCTCGAATTTGCGGGGCTAGCCGCAGAGTATGTGGACAGATCTTCCGGTTCTCCATGAGCAATACCACGCGGGATATCGTCACGTCCAATCTGTCGCAATGCTTGATCAAGAGCCTCTGGGTTGGCCTCCTCCTTCTTCATGTGGATCCAGATCTTGAGGGTTGAGCGCAACTCCCTCCCTGGGTAGTTCTGCTTGATGTGCTGGATATCGCGGTGCGGGATGTCGAGAACTCGGCCAAGTCGTTGCCAATCGCCGCCGACCTGCTTGAGGAGGTTGGGGTGGACCCAGTCGGGCAGCTCGCGGTCTACGGCTCCCGGGTACTTCCGGTCGAAGGGCGTCTCAGCCTTGCGGGGCTGGGCGGTGGGCTCCTCGCCGGTGTACTCGGGAAGCGAGATCGACAGGGTGCAGATGGGCTGTTGGGTGGGGAGATTCTCGGCGCGGACCTGAACACGTTGGAGTTGATGCTTATTAGTTGGAAAAACTCGAATGCAGAACGTGAAAATTTTCTCAGGATACAATTTTTGAACTTGTTGGAGTTGAGGCCTATTTTGAAAATGTCGAAATTACCTTTGGCTCCTTCATAAACGCGATTCTGCCCTCGGTACTTGCTTCCGCGTCGTCCTTGTTACGGGTCTAAATTTGGGCTCTTAGAACCAAGATCATCAACCGTACCTTGACCATGAAGGCGAGGCGGTTCTCCTGGAAGGGGAGGAAGTAGAGGGAGAGTTGTTCTCCGCTCTTCGCCACGGGGAGCAGGTTGCCGGCAAACTCGAGGAAGTGGTGTTTCCCCTTGAGGACCTCGACGTCGCGCGACTTGGCGATCAGCTTGAAGTGTTCTTGCTTCTCGAGCGTCTTGTCCTCCTTGTCGTCGGTCATGCAGAAGACGCTGGAAAATTGGAGTAGCGAGAGCGTGAGAGCGACAGCGAGAGAGAGAGAGAGAGTGAGAGAGAGAGGGAGAGAGAGACAGAAAGATCAGCAAAATCCGGCTAACATCTTCGACTCACCGTAGTTGCCCCTCAACCGGGAATGTTCTCCTCGCGAACACAGCGAACTTCGCCATGTACGGGATCGCGATGGCCTCGTTGTACACCTCCTGTGCCATCCTGGCTGCGTCCCTGGGTGTCTGGCAATCCATCAGCCAGAACCTCGCCGAGACGGTAGTCGTGAAGGACACCTCATCTCCGGTGAAGGTCAGCTGCGTCGTGCCGGTGATGTCCTCCCATTGGGCGGGCGCTGAACCACCGGTGATCGAGCACAACAGCCGCAGCGTGGGCGGTTCTTGGCCCGGTTGGCTGGAGTATTGGGTCAGCATTCCCTGAAATGGTTTTGGGTGTAAAGACGACAACTTCAAGGAGGTCAGCTGAAAACTACTGATTGAACATCGAGAAAAATTTTGTAAATACGTCTATTTTCTCGGGCCCAACAACTCCAAGGAGGTCAGCTCTGACTGACCTTGTTGTTGCTGTGCGGCAGCGGGATGCAGAGGGTGATGGGCTTGTGGAACTTTCTGCGCCTCGGCTCGACGGTGACGATGGGCGAGACGGCGACGCGGTTGCCGTGGAGTCGGGTGACAATCTCCTGCGGGACGGGCTGGGCCTGGAAGGACGGATTCGAGTTGTACAACACGTTCAGGGAATTCAGATTCGGGCATGAAAACCTTAGAGGGCTAGCAGTATAATTGTCAGACCGATCAGAGATCAACGACGACAGGTTCAACAGGTTCAAAGAAGATGTACAGTGCAACAGCTCGAAATTTTCTGAACCTGTCGAAGATGTCGTAGATAGACTTTGCCTAGCCTACTGCTTTCAAAAACCATTTTACTGCTTGAACATGACCGCCCTTCCTTACCTGTAGCGAAACCTTGATCGTCTTGGTCAACGACCCATCCGGGAAGATGGCCTGCACCCTTGGGACGACAGTCGACATGATGACACCTCCCTCAGGCCCAACGCAATGCACCTCTTGACGAACCCTCGTCACGACGGCGAAGTACATCGGGAAATCGTTGGTCAAGATCCGCGTAATTCTCGGCGTGTTCAGATCGTCAAGCGCCGATAGCTCCTCAGCGGCAAAAGACTCGTTGAGAACTTCTTGGACAGCATCTTCTGTCGCTTCCAGCTGGTGCTCCTTCCAGTGCTGACCATCGTCGGAGCGGAGGATGACAATCTCACGCTCTCGTTCTCGTAGCGATGCAAAGTGCGGGACCTCCAGGATGACCGGGCCGAGGAACTTCGCGCCGGCGGGGGCCATCTCTAGGATTCGGCTGGCCAGCTCTTCGCCCTCGCTCAATGGTGGCGGGTGGGCGAGTTTGTCCTGAAAATTCGGAATGTTGTAGATGAACGTTGTCGGGGGATATTTATGGTATTTTCCTAGTCCAAGTACTGCTGAACTTGTTGAAAACGTGGTGCTATCTTTACGTGAGCGGGTTCTCGTGTTAATTGTTTTCCCCGATTGCTGTTACTGAACCTGCCAGAAACGTTGGCCTGATACTTTTTGCGCAACTCCTTGACCTCTACACCCGGAAAACTGGAGGAAATTGTAGATGAACTCTAGATTAAAATTTCGTCATCATTCTGGCTTATTAAGCTTGGTTTCGAAGCACTGAACTTGTAGAAAAAGTGGAAAAAAGTAAAAAAAACTGGTGGTGATGTTTTGGAAATTTTTTACACTATTCTCTAGCCATTTTCCTTCCTGAACTTCCCGAAAACGTTGCCCCACCCCGTTTCCGGTCTCTATCCCTATTTTCGAGATTTTTTAGATTGATAACGCTTATCCCCCGGCGTGTCATCCCGGCCATGTTCGACAATTTCCAAGCGATGGATGGGTGCTCAAAAATGGGGTCAGAGACGCCGAGGCGCAACATCCCCCATGTCATTCGATATTTATGGAGCTGTTCGGGCCAGAAAACGAGTGCCGTTCCGGGGGGAAAGACTTTGGGAAGCTCTGTAGTTCCTACCGCTAGCCTCTGGGCAAAAAACAAAAAGCTTTACGCCGCGGGGATCGAACCCGGATTGCTTTCCTGGGAGGCTAAAGCGTTACCAATCCGGCACGAGCTCAAATTTAGCCAATTCTCGAATTTTGCGCGCGGACTATTTTCTGGGGGGGGGGGGTTAGAGTTTAACAAAAATTGGCCCGGATTTGAAATTTTACGACTTGGGCTTTTGGCCAAAAACCAAAAAGTTTTCGTCGGCGGGGAGCGAACCCAGAGCGTTTTCCTAATAGGCTAGAGCTTTTCCAATCGGCCAGGAGCTCGGAATGGACCAAAAATTTTTATTTAATAGTATAAAACTAATGTAGTAAATTAAACTAATTACCTTTCTCAAGTATCGGCATGTGACTCGAATCGGCTGGCCGGCCTTCCGGGGCGGAACGATAAGCCGCACGCCCGAGTGGCGGCATCCGCGCATGGCGCCTCCGCGCGCATCAACCACAAACGAGATCAGGAAGCTGAAAATATACATTAATCCACATAAAAATTTATTTTAATACGGTGGATAGACCCACAACGGATTACACGCGAGGAAATTTTTGCTGGGGAAATTTTGTGCTCCCTTTAAAGGAACCGGCAAGGCAAAGTGATGGATTTTTATTTGTGGCTATTCTATTGGTTTTTCAGCGCCTTGAAGCCGCCTTTTCATTGCGTAATCGATTAAGCCCCATTCTTGCTGGCCAATTAAGTAAAAAATATATGTAGAAAATCCATAGCCAAAAAATCCATAATTATGCCTTGCCGGCCCCTTTAAAGGGACAGAAAACCGAAGTACGATAGGGGTACGCTAAGGTACAACTAATATAGAACTTTTAAGGGAAAGGAAATGACAGCAACAAAAAACTATTTTATCCTAATAATTTGCTTTCGATTTATCGATTTTTTTCGCAGCCACTCACTTCTTTTGCAGGACCATATTTTTCGATTATTTTTAGTTTCTCAGTCGTTCGTAGTATTCTACTGGAAAATCCAGGGATTTTAGAGGGGTGTAGAGAATATTCCGAATAGCTCCGAACGTTCCGCTCGCTCGTAAGTGGTATGGGAGCGGAATTTATAAGTTTTGGGGTTTATAGTCTAGAGGATTTTCTTGGATGGATTCTCAAAATTCCGAAACGCTCCGGTCCGCCGGTTCGTTCGTAAAAAATATAGCAAGGGAAATTTGACACTTTTGACCTTGTCGTTTCCCAAATAAAACAATAACGGAATTAGTATAAAAATAAAAATACTGTAGAGAGGAATTAAGGTCGTTTTTAGGAAATTCTAGAAATTCCAGCAGCTAGAAAGCTAGAAGTTTCGCCCTTCGGATGCTGCCAGCTTCTTCGTTCGTCTAATGGGTCGTAGAAATGGGGGGAAGGGGGGTGAGGAGAGACGCAGAGACGCAGAGACTCAGACAAACAGAATATATGTGTGTGCCTGGGGTCAATTAGAGGGGCAGCTCCTTCTCATGCTCCTGGCGGGGGGGAGGGAGGGGGTGTGAATGGGGGAATGGATGTCCGCGCTCGATCTCCGCCCCAAAAATTGGGCATCTCTCTCTCGCTCTCTCTCCCTCACTCTCTCTCTCACTCTCTCTCTATCTCTCCAAAATAATCGTTTCCCCCCGCTTCCAGAAATTGTCGCCCTCCCCAGATCTCCCTCTAGGATCTCAGCGTTTACATCTGGATTGTAAACCCGGGCCCAGGGGCCCAAGGGCCGAAGGAGAGGGCCCACATGTTGCACCCCGGTCTTGGGCCCCTCACCAAGAAATCGGATCGCTCGTTTAGCCGCTGGCTTGACATCTTTCTGGAGTGGCAGGTGTGTGTGTGTGTTCGCTTGACGAGCGTACGTACAGAGTTGCGACGCGGAACGGGGGCTTGATTTTAAAGGGCTATTGAAGACTAAATCCACGGGTTTCAGGGGGTCAGCATCGTTCTATGGCTTTTAAAGGAGCACTAAAGTGTTAATTCCCAATTTCCCGACCCGATGTGATGCTCACGATACGACAAATGGGACGTCGGCGCCGGGTATTTAGCCCGAGGGCACGAGTTGCTGAGCGGCGAGATATAGATATCGGACTCAAGGTCGTTCTCTCTCTCTTTCTCTCTCTCTCCCCCTCTCTCTCTCTCGCGCTCCAATCCCATGTTCAACTCAGGCGGAATAAAGGGGGCTTGGGACGGGTAGATGGAGCAGATTTTGGCGGTCTCGGCTCAGATTTTTAGCGGACCGGCAAGATATGCAAATTATACCGCCATTGTGTGCCCCATCTCCCGTACCTTAGGAAATGGTCTCAAAATAACGATACACCACAACACTGGGAAATTTTTGTACGACAGACTACACCTCCGAACGCTCACCTCTTGTAGCACAGTTTGCTAGAAAATGGATGGGTTATGGGTGGAATATAGAGGAATTTTTTAACGTTACTCTGACCCGAGTGGGGTTTGGTTTTAAAGGAGCATTGAAGCGAGAAAAAAAACACTTTTTAGAATCCAGAATCAGGGAGAATTTCACTTCAGCGCTCCTTTAACAGCTAAAGAATTCGGGTTGCCCTTTGTGCGCCACTTACTTGGGTTGCGTAAGCGGTTGCGTGAGCGGCGCATTGTCCGCCGACACATCCATGAAGCCGCGATCGTGGGCGGCAAGGGTGACGGGTTGAGACTGAAATATTGGATTTTAGCGGGCAGATACGGTAGGAAAAAACGGTGCGCCATGCTTTAGCCTTGATTTTTAATTTTTTTTGCGTTATCCTGTGCATTTTTATGTTTTCGATTTATTAGGCCAAGCAAAAGATATATTTTCGGGGTGGCAAATTGTCGATAGTGCGTGGACCTTCCTAGAGCTATGCGAGGCGGGCTGCTGGCTATTCTATGGCTGCTGTGTGTGGGGTGATTGAAATTGTGTAATTGTGTATTTAAAGGGAGCATGAAGTTCTATTTCTCTCACTCCGCCTCTCTCTAGCGCGCTCTCTCTCTCTCTCTCTCGCTCTCTCGCTCTCTTCCTCTCTCTCACACTCTCTCTCTCTCTCTCGCTTTCTCTCCCGATCTCTCACGCTCTCTCTCTTCTCACTCTCGCTCATTTGTCCTGTCATGCTTCCTTTAAAACACCAAATCCTCCGAAATGCCACCAACCTGTGCTGATCGAATGAGATGCTCCAACTCGTTGCTGTCGTTGAAGGCGACAGCGTGTGCGGATGGGTGGGATGCCTGTGATATTTGTGAGATGTGGCTGTCCCTCGATGCCTCCGACGGTTTCCACTGCTTCTGCATCGTGGGCGTCGTCTCGAGCTCGGCCGAGCGATTGAGCAGCACCTGGAATGACGATATTGCCAATGCTGATTTACAATGCTAGTGCTCTTTAAAAAATTTGGCAAAGCCTATGAGCACCAGTTCGGGTAAAATTCTTCCACTAGGAGAAAATGTGACAAATTGGCCACATGTTGGGACCAGGGTTTTCGAGGTATAGCTAAGGCCCCGTAATGTAGCATAGCATGCTGAGCTACGTAAAGCATCCAATCTTACTGTACTAGCGTATCATATCGTACTCTAACGTAACATACGGTAAGGTGTCGTAGCGTATTAATGCGTAAATTACCGCGACCTTCAGGTATCTTCAGACAGCGAAGCTTGGCCTATTGTTGCGTACTTTTCCATTTTTTGGTAAGGCTCACGTATCTAGACGCAATCTAACGTTGCATAGCTTAATGTACCGTCGCGTAGTGTAACGTAGCGATACTTATTGTCTAACGCAAAAATAAAAATGTATTTCAGAAAGGACGCATAGGCATGAAAGAGGGGCCGCACATTCCCTTATCACTCTATGACCTAACCCTTCGGATTACTCGACGTTTATCTCTCTCTCTCTCTCTCGCTCTCTCTCTCTCTCCCTCTCTCACCCTCCCGCTCTCACTTGCTCTCTTTCTTTCTCTCCCTATCGCTCTCTCTCTACCGCTCTCTCGCTCTCTCCCGTTCTCGCTCTATCGCTCTATTTCTCTCTATCTCTCTCATACCTGATCCGGTTGTTCTCCAGTGTGAATCAGATGTACACCCGTAGAATCCTCCAACGCGACGGCAAACCGATCGGAGAAATCCTTGGCATGGGCCTGCTGTGCGGCATGATGGTCATCTACTTCTTCCTCGGATTCCGAGAACATTGTCTCATTCATCGCCTCCGGATTCTGGGGTCTGTATCGTTCCTCGGTGACGGTGGTCGTCTCCGTGATGACGGTCGTCTCGGTGACGGTTTTGAGGGTTTCCACGACGGAGACATATCCTGAAAATGGCAGTATTGAACTTGTTGAAGACATAGGAAACCTATTTACTCCTTCAGCTACCGTAAGTACCCGAACTCCCTGCAAAAGTTGCCCAAAAATTCACCAAGTCGTTGCGCGATCGACAGCGGTGTCTGTCCGTTGGCGGTTTGCGCGTTTGGTGATGCTCCATGGTCCAACAAATATCGCACACAAGCATTGTGCCCTTGTTGAGCTGCTTGATGAAGTGGGGTGTATCCGGCTCGTGTTGTCACATCAACAACGGCGCCATGTTCCACCAACCAGCGCACCATGTTCATCTGCCCAAAGTGGCAGGCGACGTGGAGAGGGGTGTAGCCGGCGTTCGTCTGCGCGTTCACGTCGGCGCCGTTCTGGAAAAAGTAAGCGCTTTAGGGGTATTTGCTAATTTTAGATTGATCTGTTAAAATATTGTCCCTTCAAATTATGTAATGTGATTGCAAAAGGTATAAAAAAGCTAAAATAACGTTAGAAAATGAGATTGATAAGCTATTGTTCGAATTTTTCGATATTTGTACAATTTTTTAGTGCTGTTGGACGGACTGCCGAATTTTTTGTTGAAATTTCAATTTTTCGAAGCTTTTTTGTCGACATTTAATTTTGTCGAACTGCAACTTTTTCGAAATTATATTTTTTCGACATTTCGCTTTTTCAAAATTTTGCTTTTCGGCATTTTATTTTGTCGAAATCGCTTTGTCCGCATTTCGCTTTTTCGAAATTTTGTTTTGCCGAAAACCAATTTGTCAAAATTTTACTGTTCAGCATTTTGTTTTGTCGAAAATATTTTTGCAAAATTTTATTTTTTCGAAATCGCATTGTGTCGAATTTCACTCATCTAAAACCTGTGAAGAATCGCAATTTCCAGTTTTGTAAAATTTCGCAAAATTGTTTCGAACACGTGAATTTTGACAAAATTAAATTGGGCTAAAATCAAATTAAACTAAACGTTAGGCCAGTTTTTAAACAAATTTTTACCTGGAACAATATCTCGGCAACCGGCACTCGGTCTTCCTGTGCGCACAGATGCATGGCGGTGAGTCCGTTGTTGGCCTTGGCGGCGACCTGGGCCCCATTCTCAATGAGTAGGGCGGCCATGTCGCGGAACCCTTCCTGGGCGGAGAGATGAAGAGGCGTGAAGCCGGCTCGAGACACGGCATTCGGGTCTGCCTTATAGTGGAGCAGCGTTCCGGCAATCTCCATCTGGTTCTTCTTGGCGGCAATGTGTAGTGGGGTGTAGCCGTTCTTTGCCGCTGCCGTGGCCGAGGCGCCATGTTCAAGGAGGAGCAGCGCCACCTTGTCGTTGTTGTAGTGGGCGGCCACGTGCAGCGGGGTCACCTGAACGTTGGAATTTGTATGAATAGCAATTCCTTTATTTCTATTTCTGGACTTCTAGAAGAAATTCAGCCCCCCCCCCGATAATGCCAAAGATACCGTAAAATTACCTGGTTCTTGCCCTCGATATCAACAGGGGTGCCACGCTCCAACAGCAGCTTGGCCACCTTGTCGTTGCCGTACTTGCTGGCCAAGTGCAGCGGGGTGAAACCCTTCTTGGTCAACAGCTTCGGGTTGGCCTGGTGGTCGAGCAGGATGGCTGCCACCTCCTCTTGGCCCTCCTTGGCAGCAATGTGCAGTGGGGTGTATTGATCTCTTGTCGCTGCATCTGGGTTAGCGCCGGCTTGGAGTAGAAGAACAACAATGTCGGTGTTGCCGAGCCGGGAGGCGATGTGGAGGGGTGTTTGGAGCTCGCGGGCTTGGGCGTCGACCTAGGGAAGATGAGCATGAGAGCATGAGCCAGCTATGATACCTTGGCGCCATGGCGGAGCAGTACACGGACGATGTCGGTCTGGTTGGCACGGGCGGCGAGGTGGAGTGGAGTCTCACCTCGCACCGTGGCAACGTCGGGGTTTGCTCCCTGAAAGAGAGGGGTTAGAGTGAGAGAGAGTGAGAGAGAGAGAGAGAGAGAGAGAGAGAGAGAGAGAGAGAGAGAGAGGTTTGCAGACCTGCTGCAACAAGTAGATGACGATGTTGATGGCGCCCATGAAGGCGGCGACGTGCAGGGGAGAGAGTCCGGATTCTGTCTGTGCCTCGATGGAAGCCTGATACCGCAGTAGCAGCTCAACGACCTGGAAGAGTAACGAATATTAGTTATAGGTATAGTGAACAGCTACTGCTAGTCTAATGTTTTCGACATTGTACTGCTCGAACTTGCAGTAATTAAAACAATACTTCTCCAACTAGTGCTAATTTAGGGCGTACTGCTCGAAGTTGCGCTTATTGAGCCCGTACCGACAATGAGAGTGAGCGCCAACCCGTGCTAATTTAGGTTGTACTGCTCGAGCATGTGCCAATTTACCCCTCGGACTATCCTACTTGAAGCCGTAATTGTTAGACTATGCGCTAATTTAGGCCGTACTGCTCGAACTTCTTCCCAAATTCCCCCAATCACTCACCTTAATCCTGTTCTTCTTGCACGCGATGTGGAGGGGCGTGAAGCCGTTGAGGGCGCGGGCGTTGGGGTCGGCGCTGCGGTCGAGGAGGAGTTTTGCAACACGGACATGACCACAATGAGCAGCGACGTGAAGTGGGGTCAGATAGTCGACCGTCACATCATCGACGGGGGCACGGTGGTAGAGGAGGATACGAGCTGAGTCGACATGATCTCCTTGGGCGGCCATGTGGAGTGGGGCCAGTCCGTTCTGAAAGTTAGGGGGTTTAAAGGGACTGGAAAAAGCAGGGCTGTGGCTTTTGAGGGAGAGAGAGCGCGCGAGAGAGATAGAGAGAGAGATAGAGAGTGAGAGATAGATAATGAGAGAGAGATGGGGGAGAGAGAGAGAGAGTTAGATATTGTTTACCTTAGTTTTTGCCGAGATTGGTGCTCCTTTCTCCATCAGAAGATCAACAACAGGATCGTGACCGGATCTGGCGGCACAGTGGAGGGGTGTCAGCAGATCTCGGGTACGGCTGTCTAAAATTCTCGTTGATAAATGGTTTTTCATCCTGTTGATAGATCAACTACGCGTTACGGAGTGTTGCTGACCTCCTCGCAGTCAGCGCAACGCATCCGCTACGCGTTCACTCGCTTTTTAGAAAAAACCTACCGATGATGGCTCCGTGCTTGAGGAGTAGGGTGACCATGTTGACGCGTCCCCACTTCGTGGCCACGTGGAGGGGGCTAGAATTTGGGCATTAATGGGAGGTTGAGCGTATTGAGACGTAATTGTACTCCTTGAACTCGTGTTCCCCGTTCGATCAACCGATAGAACCCGAAGTTTTTAGGAAATACGCGTCGAACTCCGCGCAAAACCTGGCCACAGGGACTGCCGCTCTTGTGCTAATCGTGTGGTACGTCTCGAGCTTGTGCAGCTAGGGTTGCACTGCTTCAACTGGCAGAATTTTTGTGTACTGCTTGAGATTGTGCGGATATTTGAAAGTTTGAAAGATCTCAGGAGCTTCTACGGGTCTACAACGCGTTTCTGCGACTCATGCTTTTGCGGGGACTACTCGTACGTCTCAACTCACGCTCCTACCAAGGCAAACTTTGAGCTTCCAGGATCTATTCCTTGAGTTGGCGCCCATTTTGCGTAGAATTTCACCAAATCCTGTTCCCAAGGGCTTGAACTGCTCGAGATCGTTTTATTTTGTTGCCAAAGCTCCTGTTTTTCCATTAACACTCATTTTTTAGCACTTCTACCCTCAAGTAGAGCTTCCCAATCCTCTCTCTTGCCTTAGGACCCATCTTAGGGCCCAAATCGATGACCTATAGTGCCCTCTGCCCTCGACTAGGGGCCCATTTGAATTCTAAACGGCGCCCCGCGGGTGCGACTCTAGCATCTTACATCCCCGTTTGATTGGACTTTTGAGGCGGATCCCCCCTTTTGGGTCCTTTTTGGGCCCCACTTCCAGCAGCGGGCCTTAGCGTCTGCGGGGGCCCCGTGCAAGATGGGGGCCCAGATGGGGTGAAGATAAGGCAATTATACACGCTGGGGGGCCTTGTTCTCTGGGGCGTCAATAGGATTGCCCGAAATATCAATGGAAAGGTCGGATTTGGGGGAATTCGATTAATTAGGAGAATTAGGGACCAGAAATTCTGCGGAAATACGAGTTATGCCAATAAAAACGTTAATAAAAAATGTTCAAGCACCGAAAAATGCAAAATTTTAAGTGTAAAAATATAAATTAAATCCTGTCAATTTTTGAAAATTTGCTATTCGTTTTGCAGCTTTTTTCGGGCAGTTCAGCGTATTCGACGAGTCCAACGAGTTCAAGGAGTTTTCACGACTTTGAAACTATCTATTAAACTCCACGGTGCTCAGTAGATGTTCACTGTCCCGCGTCACGACCCGCAGATGCTCGCGCTCACCTGATGTTATGCCTGGCCTGGTAGTTGGGGTTGGCGCCCTTCTCGATGAGGAGCTGGGCCACCTCCTCGTTGCCATAGTGGGCGGCAATGTGGAGGGGGGGTGAAGCCGGATTTGAGGTCACGTCGGCGTTCGTTTCATTCTGAAAAACGTCGTGTTCAAGGGGTTCAAGGCAGCAAAGGTAAAAGCTGCCCCAAAAACGCCGAAATCGACAAACCTGGAGCAACAGGGTGGCCGCCTTGGTGTCGTTCTTCTTGGCGGCGATGTGGAGGGCTGGGAGTCGCACCTTGCCGCTCTTCTCGTTCTCCAGGAGGATGGCGACGACCTTGTCGTGACCCTGCTGCAGGGCGACGGCCAGTGGAGTGAAACCGTCCTGAAATCGTTGGTGTTACGGGTCGGCAAGGCAAGGCTTTGAAGCAGGTCAAGCTTTTCCCTTTCTTTTTCTCGATTTAATTTCTTTATTTTCCACTTTCCTCTTATCGACAAATTCCGGCCCCACCCCATCCCAGGAAGTGCTTTTTAGGGCCACTAGCCCTGGCCCTGGCCCTGGGCCCTTGGGGGCTTTGACTGGGGAAGCTGCTGCTGCCGCCGGGTCCCAACGAAAAATGGCCCAAACCCCCGGGAAGACGCCGAGAGGGCCCACGACCAAATCCCTGGCGGCCGCTTTTAGGGTCCCTCGGCTTGAAGCCAGCCGGCCTTGGGATATACATCGTCGTCCTCGAGCTGTAGTCCCCCCTTCGGCTTCCAAGGAGAATCCCCCAGAGGATCTACACACCGCCCTGGTGGATGCACAATGTCGAAAAGCGCAGCAAATTGGAGGCGGTGTTTAGCCATGCCAAGTTGAAAAATTAGCATTTAGAAGCCGAAAATCGAAAAATTACTATTTTACAGGGTTTGGCAAGTCGGAAATCCATTCGATTTTTGACATAATTGCCTTTATTTAGCCCGTGGAAAGCTCAAAGCGGGTTTGTCTAGACCTATACAGGCTTGAAATTTGCCTTCCCAGCCCCTTTAGGACGATAAGATCAAAAAACAATTATTTTAAAGGATCTGGCGAGGGTGAACCCATCCAAAATTGGGCTAATTTAGGGTAATCTGCCCCTGTAAAACTCATGCACATTTGCCTAGGCCTAGTCCGGGTCGGAATTTGACTTCTGAGTCGCTTTAAATCCGGAAATACCCGAAAAAATCATCAAAACTCACTTCCGTCGACAGGGCCTGATTGGCGCCGTGGCCGAGCAGGTAGCGGACCACCTGAAAAAACGGGGATGATGAATGGATAAAGCTAGAGGTCAATTATCTTTAAAAAATTCCAAAAACCCACATCCTCGTGGTTTTCCTGGGCGGCCATGTAGAGCGGGGTGAAGCCGTTCAGGCTCTGCACGTTGACGTTGGCCCCATTCTCGACGAGGATCGTCACGATCAGGGATTGGCCGGCCAGGGAGGCAATATGGAGGGCTGTGTTGCCTTTCTGAAATAAGAAAAAAATATATAGGAGCTAGGAGCTAAATCCAGCTAAATCGGGAGCAAGAACTTTGGAGCCGGGCTTAGGCTTTTGCTTGGACTTCGGCTCAGGCTTTGTCGTAGGCTTATGCTGAGACTTGGGCTTATGCATAGGCTTAGGCTTAGGCTTAGCTCTTGTCTTAGCTCCCTGCTCCCAGCTCCGAACTCCAATCCTTCGGAAAAACGCACCCTTGTGGCGGCATCAACCGTGGCCTTCCGCTTCAACAGCTCCCTGACGACTTCTTGATGTCCTTCCTTGCTGGCCAAGTGGAGCGCGTTCAGCCCGTTGGTGTTGCACGTGTCGATGTCGGTGCCGGCGCGGAGCAGCTCGAGGACTTTCTCCAGGTTTCCGGCACGGGCTGCTCGCAGGAATGCGGCTGAGCCTTCGTTCTGGAAAAAATGCATTAAAGGGGCTGGCCAGTCAAGGTTCTGGATTTTTCTATGGATTTTCGCTCTCTTTTTAATGCGTGTTTCTGGACTCCTGGAGTGCTACGGTAGTTTTGCCATTTTTTAGGGCGCGCGTGCCAGGACGACGTCGTGGGGTCGGATTTCAAGTAGTTCGCTTGAGAGAGAGAGAGAGAGAGAGAGAGAGAGAGAAAGAGAGATGAGAAGTGAGAGAAGCAGAGCGACTTGGCTATCAATGTCCGTCTCTCTCTCTCTCTCTCTCTCGCTCTCTCTCCCTCTTTCTCTGTTTGTGCGTGTTGTCTGTTTGTCAGTGCGTTTCGGGGATTCCAGCACCATACCACCGGGGCAAACAGAAGCCCCAGCCCCATCTCAGATGATAGCCGAGAAGATGAGGAGGACCCCCGGGTGGCTGGAACTCCCCTCCCCCTGGTAATACGATCCCTTTAAGGCCGAGAAGGAGGGGGAAGGCGCATAAAATTGTCATCGATCACATTACAGACGTTTGAGGAGGGCAATTTTCCGGATGCTAAATCTTGACTTTACGATGACTTTTAGGAACCCGGATTACACGGCGTGTACGGATCAATTCGGTAATCTATTCTATCGTCAAATCACGCGCATTTTTGAACGATTTGCGCATTAAAGGGAGCGGATAAGTGCTAACTGACAAGGGTAATACCGTAATTTTTTAATTTTATTTTTTAACAACTTTCCGTACCTTTTGCGGCTGTTGATCATCTGCTGGGGCGGCCGCGGCCGCCGCCGCACCGTCTGACATCCTCCCCTGGAAATGAAGAGTTTAAATGGGTCGGGAAGGCATTTATAAATTCTCAAAAAATGAAGAAGCATTTCAATCGCAAAATTCGAGGAGTGTAAAAACAGGCGGGAGAGAGAGAGAAAGTGAGAGCAAGAGAGAGAGAGAGAGAGAGAGAGCGAGAGAGCGAGCAAGAAAGATAAAAAGTTAAAAAGCAAGTTTTCAGTCGTAGACCAGGTCAGAAAAAAATTCCGAAAACGTACGGAACCTAAGAATCTTTGCTAGCCCACCCACTCGAATTCCTCAAAGAATCTCTGCTAGCTCTCCCAAATCCACAAAAAATCAAGCAAAACTAACTGAAAGTCCAATAAATCACGATGCAAAACATGGAACAGCCTGTTCCCCCGGCCGATCGAGGATCGAGTTTTTGGACGAAAAAATTGAGGAAAAGTGTTGAGGGGGAGGTTTGTGTGGTTGAGGGGGGAGGGATAGATCCCCACAGCAAACACATCACCCACAGCCATCTCCCCTTTTTCTCTACTCGCAACTCGCAAATGGCTAATCCCGACTATGCGGGACCGGGCGATTTTGGACCTGTTTTTCGGCTCGATCGGGTTTTAGAGGCGTTTATTGCAGGGGAAATCGTACTAGTAACGCATGCAGACGGCGTGGAAAATTGGCCCGGGGGTTTTTGGATTGAAAAATAGGAAAAACTGGATTAAAGGGGCGAGAAAGGCAAGAATTCGACGTTTTCCAAGTTTGGCACTTCGCCTAGATCCGAACGTGTCGACTTTTGACAAATTAGCTTACAGCCAGTTACAATTTTGTTCCGAACTTCTTAGATAGCTTTCCTTGCTCTTTCTCTCACTCTCTCCCTCTTTCTCTCTCGCTCTCTCTCTCTCTCCCTCTTTCTCTCTCGCTCTCTCTTTCTCTCTCTCTCTCTCGGTCTCTCTCTCGATCTCTCGTATTTTTTAAGTATGGAAAAACTGCCAAAAATCCTATTTTGTTATGAATATTAAAAGCGCTTTTCACCGTTCCGACGCGCCACCCAAAAATGCTTCCGTTGCAGAAGAAATTGTTTTTTTTGCGGCGGTGGCGCCACGCCGCCGACGCGAAAAGTGACTAACAGCCCGGGTGAGGGAAATTGGGCGCTGATTCAGCCGCACTCCAAAAATGTCGAAAGTATGCTTGAAAAGGTTAGAAAAAAAACAGAAATCCGCTAACAGCCAAATTCCGGATCATAAAAAATGACGTAATTACGGGTAAAAGTCCGGAAACCAAAAATTGGCTCGTATTTGAATAGAGGTTACGTTATGCGACGCCAAATTACGTTTGAATTTCTCGCTGGGAAAATGAATATTTGTATTTTCGGCACGCCCGCTATTAAAAAGGATATAAAAAAAAGGAAATTCCGCAAAATAACCAAATTACGGCCAGTTTTCACCAATAAAAAACGCAATATTCCGATTTTCCCGCAATTCCGCTCCACTACTAGCGACGTAAAGCAGAGGTCAACCGGAAGCTGGAAGGTTTCGCAATCGAATCGAACAGTTACTACCCAAATAGCCGTAGTAGGGCCCTAAATCTTGGCTGACCGCGCAGTTTCCATATTTCCATATGGCCCATAATTTTCCGCGCGGCCCCCCACCTGGGCACCCCACGAAATTGCACCCAATTTTCTGCGCGGCCCCGGTGGCTTGGTTGGCCCTGAAAACCACGAGAAAACGGTAAAAAGTGGCCGTAACCTGAGGGGCGCTGCTCAGCTAGGGTGGGGCGGGTTTTAGGAAACAAACCGAGACCTATTCAGTTCAACACGGTGATGGAAAAACTTTAAAATGCGATGTATAAATTTATTCAATCTTAAACTACGTTGTCAAATCACTAAAAACTTTTAAAAAGCATTGAAAAAATTCTAAAGCTAGTAAAGTAATTAGCTCAACTCGAAACTACGCCTAAAATGCTCTCCCTTGCGTCTAAATCGGTGAAATTCCTCAAAAATAGCAAAAAGCCTGAGCCATTGCTTTAAAAGAATATTTAGAAATACAAAAACGGTCCGTAAAATAAAGCAACGTAGCTTGGCGTAGCTATAAAAAGATACACTATTTAGATGACGTAACTGGTTAGCTAACGCCACGCGTTTTCGCCCGAAAAAGGAAAAGTCTATTTGCAAAACGGCCTGAAAATTTCAAAGATGCGGATACGTTCATTAAAATTATTAAAATAATCAAGCTCTCGGAATTCTCGGCTTTATTAGATGTCGTAATCTATTAAACTGAGCCAAATCAGCGTCCATGACTAAAAACCTTCTTAAAAGCCCAAAAAAAGCCGCTAAAGTCGTAAGCTAAATGAGTAGAGAACAAAGCTAGCCGGAACTTTCTTACGTCTTAATGTTTACATCTGCTTCGATGTACTAATTAAATGCCGTAATCGATTGTGCGAAGCGAATCGCCAAGTTTATGCCAACAAATCTGTCGTAAAAAAGCCGAAATAGCTCCAAAAAATCCCAAATTCTGTCGCAAACTAGAAAAATGTCAAAATACGTCAGCTATAGCAGGAATCGGGGCTCGTTGCCAAAAATGTTTACGCGTGTTTACAATGTGCGCGACGCCGCCCTGGGGGTTTGGGGCAGAGGGGTCGAATGGAGTGTGTATGGCAGCGAGAAGAGGGGGGAGGGGCTAGAGAGCGAGAGAGACAGAGAGAGTGCGGGGGGGCACTTTGGCACGACCGGATCGATGGCCAGAGGGGGCTGAAGGGTTAAAGGGGTTGGGCCATACGCACACACATACAAACATACACCCTTCCCCGGTTCTCCTCTTCCTTCTCCTCCTCATCCCCCGGCAAGAGGAACACACAACTCGAATGGCTCTCTCTCTCTCTCTCTCTCTCTCCCGCAACCACAAAGCTAACACCCGTTCCATTTACTTGGGGGACCCGGCCGGCAAATTGGCAAGGCTAGAAACAAACAGGGGTTTCGCAAAGAATCTCTGCTAGCCTGCCCTCTCCCAATTTCTCAAAGAATCTCTGCTAGCCTGCCCTCTCCCAATTTCTCAAAGAATCTCTGCTAGCCTGCCTTCTCCCAATTTCTCAAAGAATCTCTGCTAGCCTGCCCTCTCCCAATTTCTCAAAGAATCTCTGCTAGCCTGCCCTCTCCCAATTCCTCAAAGAATCTCTGCTAGCCTGCCCTCTCCCAATTCCTCAAAGAATCTCTGCTAGCCCACCTTTTCCCTGGGGTTGCTAGCAAACAAATGGAAAGCAAATCCCGAGCCGAACAACGCGCAAATCCAATTAACGGGTTGCACCTAGGGGAACAGAGTATGGTTTCGGAAAGAAAGTCATGTCGAAACGGGGATTGGATGGTTTCGGAAAATCAACAGAGAAACGGGGGATAGGCACTGGGTTTCAAGCCCTTCATGCCATCCACAGATTATACGTTGGCCCGCAAAAAAAACCCCAAAAAATGTCACAGAGTGTACGCAGCCGGGGCGGTACAGGAGACACCAAAAAACGCCCGCCACCCGGAAAACGAGTGGTTGACATGAATCGGGGTGGCAGGTTAGGGCGTTGAATTATTGACATCGATTATTTTTGCTTTTTGCCTAAAAGATAAAGATATTAGACACTTTTGTTGTTAAAGCTATAAAAATATCGTAGCATTAAAATACATTTGAAGTTGAAAATCTAGGAAAATCGCCGCAAAAATGTATTTTGAACTAGATGTTATAAAGTCACCTTTGAAAGCTTTATTTGAAGATGATAATCGTGGTTTAAATCGATTTATATAAAGGCTCAAATTGCTGCTTAATTAGCTTTATTCAACAATTCAAATTGCGGTTTAAACATGGTTTATTTCAAGAGCCAAATTGCGGCTTCAAAAAGATCTATTTAAAGTCTAAAATCGCGGCTTAAGGGATTTATTTAAAGGTTAAAATAGCAGCTGAAAACGATTTATCTAGATATTCGAATTGTTGCTTACAATTGCGTTCTTTTAAAACATCAATATCCACATTTACAAAACAGTCCTAAGCTGCCAGATGATTCGATCAATTCTAATAACCTAAAAACGTAAAAAAAACCTAAAAAACCTACAAAAAAAATATTGTTTCAAAATGTATGGAAATTCGGTTTTAGTAAACCTGCTCAAAAAAGTACTTTAACCTTCAAAAAGCCTGTTGCCTAAGCTGCCCTTGAAAACGTTCTGCTCCCTCCCCAAAATAAGCCCCGCCCCCTCCCCCTCTCCACCCACTAATTACCTGTCGTAATCGAATCACCCGCGCGTGGAAAACCCGCCAAAATATCCCCGATTTCCACCCGCAAATAAAGCGATTTTTCGTGGCTTTTGTTAGGCCAAGGGCCCACCAAAAAAAAAGATTGTTTTCGGTGAGTGGCCCGGGTGGCAGTAAAAAACCCGGCGGGGCTCAGGGCCAACGGAAAAACCAGTTTTTTGCCCCCCCTCCGCGAGGACCACATTGCAAATGCAACCGAGAGCACGGGGGACGGGGCCTAGAAAGGGCCCACAACGAATATGGCCCGATTGGGGCCCAATAAAAACGTTGGAATAGTCTTGTACTAGCGATTCGCGTCAGAGCCGGACTTTTCAAGGAAAGGGGAAGGTCAAAAATTTCTTCCAACCTTTGAGCTCGAAAAGAGCTTTAAAGGAACTGGCAAGTCAAAATGCTTTATAGATTCAGGTTGTCGAAATGTAAAAATGCCTCTTAAGAGGACGGGGAAAGTCACAATTCCTTGAAAACCGATAAAATGTGTTTTAGAAATAGTTTTAAAGCTACCGGGTGCAAAATCCTCTTAAAAACCGACATATTTTGATCAAAAAAATTTTTAAAGGTGTCGGGAAGTCAGAAATTTTCTAAAAATAACTTTAGCTTACTAGAAAAATTTTTTAAAGTGACTTGGAAGGCACCACACCCTGTAGATCATCCCTTAATCGTCAAAACCCTCGTTTTAAAGGGGCGGAGAGGCCAAAAATAACCACTAAAATGTAGCTAAACCGCTCGAAAACCTGCAAAAAT